TCTATCTCACCTACCACTGTGAGTAGGCCGGGCGACAGCGGCTCAGCCGCCGGTCACCGGTGGGCTATCGCCGGCCTGGCGGTAATTCGCTCCAATGACTGCTGGCTACCGGACCAGGCTCGTGACCATCGCACGTCTCAGATCAGTCAAGGGAATGTTTCTCATGTGAAGATATTGGGTCAAGCATCAGATAGGCTGGAATAAGATCACTTAATTATTGGCGTACTTTTAAATGGAAAAGACTGCTGCTAGAGAAATAACTTTTGTTTAGTTAATATGCTCCTCAAAGCATGATGGTCTGATTACGTCATCGTACTTTGCATAACATTGATTGGGAGCTAACTGATAACCGCTATGTGTAGAAATCGCGCTCACGAACGCCAGATAGGAACAAATCGGCCGCTGTTTTTCTTTGCCCTGACCACCGCATTACTAATGAGCTTTCAGGCTTTGAATAATGTCATTACGGCACCATTGACACCCGTGTGACCTTGACGTAGTCTCCCCGAAGTAGTCTGCACATCTTTGCGAGCGTGTGGCTAAAAAACTAGAGGGGTAGGGTCTAACTAGGTCTAACTAGGTCTAACTAACTCTAACTAGGTAGGGTCTAAAAACTAGGTCTTGAGAAGGGTAGGGCTGTAACCTACACCGAATGATCTTTAAGATGACTCCTTCTGTTCAAAGCGTCATACGAATGTGGAAACTTCTCTTAAATTGCGTTGTGTCTGGTTTTTCAAGCAACAGTTCGCGTGTTGCCAAGCAGAGTACGAACACATCATTGTATCGCACGGCCACTGACGTTAAGCATCTAAGTCAGCCCCCATTTGATGTACCAACCTACGTGGTCGAACGTTTCCAGTTTGTTAACTTCCAGTTCGGAAGGCTTATGTGTACGATGACACTATCCTTGCGCGCTCACCGACACACCTTTACCTTAGCGTTGGTGGCACAGATCATGGGAAAATAACCGCTTTTGTGCAAGGCATGTACGTGCGATGACTGCATTGAAACTAACGCTATTTCAAGGTTTTATACCGCATTTTGCGGATCGTTAAACGAAGTTGAAATAGCGATCATGAGACTCCAACACTGTATCAATATACTGTCTCAAAATACTCTCAGATACTGTCTCATCTAAATGCATAGTGTTTCCCGCAAACACATTTAAGGGCAGCATTCCACATTTATGCGGGGTTTTGATCCGAAATAGCTGTCTTGAAGACTTTTCGGTGCTGTTCACAATCCGGCCTTTTTAAGACCTAAGCCCCTCTAGTTTCTGAGGTAAACGTCCGCGAAAATAGGGAGAGTATTTAAATGTCACCTTGGCATTCATGGCGTCACAAAGACGTCATTCAAGTCCTGCCATTCCAGAAGCTGTGCGGTGATCAAGGCCAAGAAAAATGTGTTTGCCGAGACGTTCATATTTGGCGTTCGTGAGCGGGATTTTCAGATGTCGCTGCCAGTTGGCTCTCAATCCATGTTGCGCTAGGTACGATGTCGTAATGAAACCACGACGAATTTAGGAACATATGCACTCAACAGAACTGTGCTGTCTAGAGCATTCTTTTCCACCTAAAAAGTATACCAATAGTTATAAGTGAGCTTGTTTCGTCATACATGTTGTTTGCTTTTATGTCTTGAAATGTGAAACATTTCATTTAGCAACTTACGTAAGATTAAATGTTAAGCAAAGCTCGCTTTTCTCAAATATAATTGGCGGTCGTAACTTGCATGCTGCTTTAATTGATTGCCACAACTTTACAACAATAAAAAACATACTCTGGTGAAACCTCAGGTCTAGTACTCTAGGCTATCACCTCAAGTCAAATAATGTTATAGAACGGCAAGCCCCAGATCCCTGTCCCAAGGACCCTCCGATCTCCTCACACAACCAGTTTTCCTCCGACATCACGTATAAGGGAAATGTGGCTAGTGTTCACGTCATGCCAGTGACCTTATTCGATCTTTAAGGTGGCAATAATACAAAACTTTCGAGTTTATTTTGATATTTGAATTTACATTTTGTGCCAAGTGCATCTTAAGCGGCATGCTCCTGAAAGCACGCTTATGGCGGGAGTAAAGCAGTGGTTATCGAACCCACTTTTGGTCGGTGACCTACTGACCTTCATGAAAATAAAAAGCATTAGACCTTCAAGATAAGAAATCTTTTGACGTCACTGTGATCCAGGTAGTCAATAATTGCGTCAGAAGCTTCCTCATAACTCCAGTTTTCCAGTAGTAGAGCGGTTTGATTTTTGATGTTGCGTCCACACCTGACCTAAGTCCAACGCAATCAGTCAATGTCCTGGTTTCAATGCTGTAATTGTCTAAGAAACCATGTCAAAGTTGTGTGACTTCGCTCAACACGGCTCTTCCAGATAATGTTGAACGAATCCCAATTGCATTCGCCGGTATCCATGACCTGACTTTGACCTGTCATAGGTCAGCGGGATCACAAGGTATGCTTCATTGATCGGCTCTTTTGCATTTGCATTTGCAATTGCGTACACGTACATTAGCGCGGATGCGCCGCGCCGTTTTGAAGTTAGTTTGAAAAACCTTCGTGTGTTGAATTGATCCCATAGGGTTAAACCATCCACACGGAGCGTAGGCGAAAGGTGTTATTACTACGCATAACTTCGCTTCGACGCTATCTTTTTGTTCGCACAGATGCTGCTGAGAAAAAAGTAATGCACGGTGTCTATATACATATATATGTATACGCATATATATATATATATATATATATATATATATATATATATACGTACACACAGAGAGACTTTGCCGCTGAACAAGTATAGACTTATATATATATATATATATATATATATATATATATATATATATTCATTTCTTTACAATTAGGATTTAAAACGAACATTTTCATGGGGTTGATGCGAATTTTTGGCGGCTCAGCATCCGCGCCAAGTAGCGCTTGCGGCATAATTTTGCGGCGAAAGCCCAATGTGCCGCAATGCCCAGCTGAGGTCCGTCCGGCCATCGCTGGGTGAGCTGGTGGGCAAGCGCTCTAACCAGCTGACAGGCACGCTCTGCCTGCGGTTGTCGCTACGACACGGTGACGGCTTGACGGAAGTCGGTTGGACGCAGCGCAGAGCGGCGTCAGGTAACCGTCCGGTCTGGTCTGCCTCCAGCACTGGACTCCAACTGCACCGCGGGGGTGGTCAGCAGCCTGAGCTCAGATCCCGGCTCTCTGGGCTGCGGCTGCTCTGTGCCCTGCGAGTGAGTCTGCCACGGCGGGGACAAGTTGTGGAACATGGGGCCGGGTCACCCACGTCGGTTGGAGCCGAGTTGCGGTAGCTCGGTAACAGACTGTGGTGCGCTCATCTCGTGCACTGGCCTCTAGATTCTCCTGCACCGGTCTTCAGCTGGCTGGCGGCCACCTGTCGGTTCTGGGTTGCGCTGCGGACGTATGTATCGTTGTAAAAGTCTGAACGAAACGTACCCAGACGGAGAGCGTGTGACCTCGAATCACTTTTAATCAATGTAGGTTACTAGGAAGTGTGCCGTTAACGCTCCGCGTAAGTACAATACGCGACTTTGTCGCTGAAAGGCGCGCTTTTAATCTACGTGGGCTAACATGCTGTCAAAACGAATTATTTATGATATGACTGAACTAGAGCACACTCCCTCAGTGCCAGACAGACTGGTGACGTTTGCACGTGTTTCTGTCGTCACATCACACTGGCCGACTGTTCTCCAGGATGTTCTCTGGCCGCTGTTTTGGGCCAGCGTACCGGCACTGTCTCCTGTGAGCTGGACGGTGACATTGACCCGATCACGTGACATTGGCCTGGTCACGTGACTGCCGTCAGGGAGGCGGACCACCAGCCTCAGCTGTCCGTCGCCTCGTGGCCGCAAGGCAAGTTCCTGGCCTCCCTGCTCCAGGACATCAGCTTCGTACCAATGGACGAGGACGTGGGAGAGACGTCTCTGGCTCAGTGGGCCCAGCAGTTCTCGAAGCTGAATGTGTACTATCGAGACATCGGCAGTGCTGCCGTCACCGAGAGTCCAACGTACACGGTGGGTACCAAACACCGACTAATATATGTGAAAACCCGGACGCCTCCATGAAGCCAACCGCTCTTCTCCTATTACGCCTAACCAATCCCAAGCGTGCATATCAACGGCGCGAAGTGTGCGATCATAATTTGCAACGCAACAATACGAATACTGAAAAATGCAGGGTTCCGTGGATGTACCAGTGTCGTCGTCTCCGCCAACCGTGGGCAGCGGCTCGTCGGTTGCCGGCCACCGCCCACCCCGGCGAAAGATTGCCGTGCAGTGGTCCTAACAAAGCTATCTACTCAGAAATGAAAAATTCTGTATACACGTTTTTGGTTTCGGTGAGACATGTTTTAGCTGCACGCGCGATGAATCTGCCGGAAGTAGCTGCAAGTTTAGGGTGATTACTCGACACGTCAGGGTGATTACTCGACACGTCAGGGCGACATTGGCAAAAACTTCAGGGAAGATGCAACGACCCTCATATCTCCTATCAGGACAATGGTTAATGATATCCAATTGCGTGTCGCTGAGGGTAATGTCACTTTAGTCTCATGAGTTTTAAGCTCTTATACTGAGCTATTGACCTGTAATATGCTAGGAGGCAGCTGTTTAACGACGTCAAAAGGCTTAACACCGATTGTACTGGCGGTACTCAATAACTCGAGCTGCTGTCATCCCATCATCTCATCACCTCATCTCATCTCATCCTGAGTGTGCGATTGAGTGAGTAAGTGACTGAGTGCTTGCGCCCATCCTCACTCATGAGCATGAGCACAGCTCGTAACAATTAGTACCGCCAATAGAATCAAATAGCTCTCGTAGTACCTCCCGCTTCACTGAAGGTCCAGCATACAAACTTTGAACCCATAAAGCCGAAAAACAGAGGCTGAAGGCCCTCTTACATCAAGTATCGCCTTGGTTTCAGTACACCACCTTCATCAGCAGCTTAGGTGGAGCTCTTTCGCTGTACCTGGGGATTGCGCTGATTCTGCTGGTTGAAATACTGGAGTATTTCTTCTTCATGGTCTTCAACACGGCCCTGTACCTCTGCGGACGCTACGAAGCCAAGGACCCTAAAACCGTTTCCGTCATGCTGACGGCGCGGTCAGTAGTGCCCGGTGAGCGCTCGTGAGCTGTTGTGCTTAGCTGCTATCACCGTGAACTTTCGCACGTGATGCGCTGCGCTGAATTGCAGTTGATTCGCCTATGGTCGCACGATGAGCCCGAAAGCCAGAGAGCAGTGCATGTGGTGGTCCATCCCTATTGTCATGCGATATTCGAATATAAAACAATTGTTTCATGTATGCTTTCGAGGTAATGAAGGGTAGCCGTGGCCATTAGTTAACGAGGCTGCAAAACCTCATTTCGCTGGTGAAGGTCTGATGGTCTCTGCTGGGTCGCTCCAGAACTGACTGGAGCCTGTCGTCGTTTCAGCCGGCGGGGTGCGCCCAACATCGGGGCCGATGCTGAAGGCATTCGCTGGCAAGCAGGGACAGATCCAATACTGATCGGCCGGCGCACATCACCAGACTAGTCTGGTGACCACCCAGACGAGAGCCTGGAGAGTCTGCGCTGCTGGATAAACGGCGTTTGCTATGTGGACTGACGGATTTCACGGAGACAGCAAACTGTTTTATTGGCGCGGGCAGTGGATTCTGCTGTACGAACAGGCGTTTCAGCGATTGAACACCTGGACGTTAGCGGCACAAAACGGACAAAGGGCGATGTTGGTGATGTGCGGCGGAGAGCACTGACCAACCGAACGCCCCCGTCACTTTCCACAACTTGCTCCATGGCGCTTTTAATTGGGTGACAGTTGTGCTTTTGTGTGGAAAAGCCATTCATATATCACGAAACGACGTTATACACTAAAGTCAGCACTTGGTATGGTACTAGTTGACTTGTATGATATGTATAGCGAGGAGAGGGAACGCATCCGCGGTGCGTGGGCATTGCAAACACCGCACTTAAATGCTGCATTATTCAAATGAATGCCTTTGTTTTCTGCTTCAGAATGCAGGCTTTCGTTACCAATCCTTGGCATAGAAACAGGTCTGGAGCGGTCGCGTAACCGCGATAAAATGGCTTGGACTTTCATTCCAACATCTACCGACTGCTCAAGAAATCGTATGCCTCATACATCTACCCCAAGCCAACTGCATCACGTTGTTAAGCTGTTTAGTTTTGCATTTCGCTCAAAGACTGTTTGGTGCAACTTTCAGTGCCTTTCATTGTACAGGGATTGCCTCGCATACCCTTGCGATGCACAAGCGTTGAGATATTTTTTGAATTGGTGGCAACTGGCTCGCGCAGTTCATTCACCCAAACAAAAGACGCAACGCATTTTTAACGTTTTCTTTTCCACGCGCGACAGGCAAATCAGCACAGTTTGTGCGCAGATCAGCAACGAAACCGCTCACAAAACCGAATGGTAGCGAGGAAATGTCAGCTTAGTTGCACCAGTAGCACTGCCCGGCCTGGCCTGTGGTGTGTAAGAGTGATAGTCCCTCTTGGGAAAATATCGAGGTACACCTGTTCATGGTCTTTCGTTTTGCAGGCAAACGTACCCACAGTTCTTCTTACGATGCACCTTTGGCCACACCTGTCCCACTGACGTTGGATTGTCAAGTCACAGTAAGCAGATCAGGTTTAAGCAAGTGCTTCATGTCTCGCACGTAATTGAGCCAAAATGACAGTCCCAACTAAAAATGAATATTGTTTTAAAGGCACAAGTATATGTACTACATAGGCATATTACACACACATAGTTGGGCCGCACAGTTGGATCAAACCGAGGAAGAAAAGAGCTTAGGGGCTATAATTCCAGGGACTTAAAGGCTGAAAGGCGATCTGGAGCTGCCACAACCGAAGCTTTTTACTGTTTAACAGGAATGTCCATTAGAAGGGTAAGAATGTTGTCAAAAAGTTGTTCTTAGCTTGTGTCAGAACATACCAGCGTATTGCGCACAGGCTCAGTCCCCATGCTTCCAAAAATATGCAGATAGGCTGGAAAGAGTACAGCGAAAAGCGACTGGGGTGATGAATGGGACTGGCAACTTAGAATATACAGATAGGCTTAGGGTCTTGAGTTCGTATCAACTTAGATATCGCAAACTCAGAAGGGATCTGATAGAACTATTCAAAATTATGAAAGGAATAGGCAAGGTAGATATACCAGAAGCATTGGAAATTAGGCCGAGACTTAGAGGAAATCTGCTCTACTTAGCAAAAGGCAGAAGCCAAACTGTAAAGAGGCAGATGTCATTTAGTCAAACAGTATCAAATCATTTGAATGGACTATCAAACGAGGCTGTAGGAAGTCCCTCTCTAGCAACATTTAAAAATGGATTGGGCAAGCTCTTTCAGTCTAAGGATCTCATTGATAGCTAAATTCAGGCAGGTCAAGTGGTGAGATTACCTTAAGGATGTGCGCGGAGCGCGAGGTAGGCCAACCTCGATGAGCCCTTGTGCCTCTTTGTTGGTCTGACGTCTTTCGGTCTTTATGTCTCACTGCCTTGATGTCTTGTACATGTACTACATTATTGGCAAAATATCGTGCATTTACACGTGTGGGCACATCAACGAATATGCCTATACTTAACACGGCGGTTTGCTCTGATAAGTCTCCTGAATATGCACTGTCTACAGAAGCGACAAAACATGTTACGCATGTGAAGCGGTACATTTATTTTCCTGCACTGGTTGCGTCTAATGGTTTCTACCCGCTCCTACCGTCGGGGTGAGAGACGGGCGACGCCACATAGCTTCAGCCCCTGAGTGCGTCGCATTGCCCCAATGGCACACATAAGCACACACACAAACACGTCAAGAACATAACTGATCACTCACGTTATCACCGTTGCTTGTGGAGCACAAGTTAGATACATGATGCAGGGAGCATTAATTAGGTATTCTGGCCGAATCGTATTATTCCAATGCCAGAAAAAAAGTAACCCCATGCCCTTCAGTTGCCTTCATTTACATTTGCAGCGAAAAGGCGCATTTAACAGATGTAAAGCAGGACTTTGTTTTACCACTAACATTCGCGGATATTTCCACTTTGTGTGCTGTTCACATTATGCGTTCTAGAAAATCCTCTCAAAGAGGCTACGCATCTCTTTTTCATCACTGCCGTTGTAAATATAATGCAACCCGTGATATGCGTCTCTCTGGTGCGTGCATGGTACTGATCACGTGGAATACTGAGAAATGTGTGAACAGATAGTGAGACATTGGACAGGCGAAAATGCCGCGCGGTGCGTATGAGTGGTGAACGAGAGTTCTTCGTGACCAACGCCGAGAACTGAGATTTAGGTCCCAGTTCATTTGGAGGGATCAGGCCCCCCACTTGTAGTTCAGTCCCCCCAAATTTGAAAAAAGAATCCCCTTAATCTCAGACGCCACGTTTATGACCATGGATCCCGTAGGCAGCAGAAGTGCATTTTCTGTCCCTGGCCTAATGATATGCGGGTAAAGTTGGAGCCAGCAGCGAGGCACGATGCTATATATTACATTATCAATGAAAGATATTGCCGTTGGCCTCTAATAACTCAAGAACAGTCGGAGGTAGACTCACAAAACCTCGATGTTCTGAATCGGCGCGGCGAGAGGAAATATATGTCACAGTTTGGTCCAGATGGGGCCATCGTGTACCGTGACGCGACACCAGTAAACCTGCCAGTGTTAGAAACCTGTTGCGAGCGTAAAGGCGAAAATATATTAGCGTGTAACAATATATCGAATCGCACGCAGAGACTGCGGTCGTGTATATTTGCACGTATTTTGCGGAGGGCTGTCGACTCGCGCCCTAATATCGTTCTCGCCGACGGCCCCTCGTCTATTGACTATCGTTCTAAAAGGGGGAGGGGTCGATGCAACCCTTTAGGGTTTCCTGAGGACACACCTCCGGTATGCCTTGCAGTTGCACCAAAATTTTCAGTAGCCTATGGGACATTCGTCATGGTTGTTTTGACACTTAAGACGTGCCCCTCACTTTCTGATTTCTGGGCGGTGGTGGTTATTGAGGAACACCGCACGTCAATCAACGGCGGCGAGGGCTGCGGGCGGCAACCAACGATTCCGCGGACCGCACCGGCTGCGGGCGGCCACCGACTATCCCGCGGACCGCGTGGCGAACCGACATTGCTACATTGACGGAATCATACATCACAATTATACCCCCCAAACACAAAAACTCGCATATCGTGGTACTCAAAATTTAAGTAGAAATGCGCATGCCTGGAGTTTATGTAGTTAGAACGAAAAAAATGTATCGAGCATGTGAACAATGGCGCAGGTGGGGCGAGGGGAGCACAGGGGGCACAAGTCTCCGCTTCGGTTCCGAGGGGGCCCGAAGGGCTCCACGGTACCGATGGTTAAGAGCCCGAAGGGCCCAAAAGGCCGGCCGGAGATTGCGTTCAGAGGCCTGGGACCGCCGGGTCGGGCACTCCAATGCCGGTGAGACGACCTATTGCGCCGATCGGCGACTCGCTCAGTCGATAATGGCCTTTTTGTCGGGCAGACATCACCAGCAACGCACAGTCGGCTCTGTGTCGGCGTGGGCCCGAAGGCCCATTTTTCAAGCAGGGACAAAGCCGGAGCCAGCGATTTACAATGGTCCGAGCCCAGCGTCTGTCAGGGCCCGCAGCGTCTAACGGGGAGCCCTGTGCTGGCAAGGGGCCCCGAGTCGACCAGAGGCAGTGGTGGGGGAGGCCTGAGAAGCCAAGAGGGCCCACTGAGACCGACGGTCTAGGGCCTGATTGGAGGACCTAAAGGCACAAAAGCCTTGCCAGTCTTCTTCAGGGGCCCCAGCATGCGGGGACGTGCTCTCAGATGACAAAGGACCCTTTGCGCCGATAGGGGGCCCCTGAATCGACAAGGGTCAAAATGTTGCGTAGACATCAGTAATATAGGTAGACATGACGTTACCCGGACATGCGTCCGGGTAACCAGTTACCCTTCACTCGAGTGGGGGGCAATTTGACCCCCCTCTGAGATCCCATGAACAGAAAGAACTGACATCAAATGCACAGGGTGCACTGAAACGTAAACTGAACTGAACGTAAACTCACCTAGGTCAAAGTTTGAGGTTCCTACGTTACGACCTTCGGTTCAAATAAGGTCAAGCAAGGTCAAACTCCAGGTTTATCTCCAGTGTTCCCAGAACTTATATAACCGCACTTAGCAAAAAGCCACATACTCATTTGAGGTTAGTGGCCCCCTTTGACCTTTTGAAGTTAATGGTTACCAAAATCATACAAGACCGTTTTGAGTTCTGCATTTACATACAGGACAAATATAGCGCTAGACAGTGTATTCCTCATGCTAAAATGTTAGCATTGGTATTTTAGGTCAGTGGCCTGTTCTGACCTTTAAGAAGTTCATGGAAGATGCATAATACGGCTTCTGTTATCAATCAATTAGAAATGAGCGCCGGATACTACCCCATACAGCAAACCCTAGAGCAATAAAGCAGGCTGGGTTTGACCTTGATATAACCTTCATACTCAGCCCTAGGTCGATGGATTTTGTTCAGTTGAGTGTTGTGTTGCCTAAGAAAGTATTTCAGAGATGTATGGCTTCGTCTAACATTCTGTTGTTGCATCAGATTGGACGATCCCCTAGAAACTGACTTCGCTGAATCCCTAGTCTGACTGACCTGCCGTAGGCCAGCGACGTCACAAGGTACATCCAATTTTTATATTTTTTATTTCATACCGATCCACTACACAACTGTCTACGGCTATGCAAAATTTAGCGCGGCTACGCCGCGCCTCCCGGAAATCATTCCGCAAAAAACTTTGGGGGGGGGGAATTTAACCCCAACCGAAGCGCATGTTAAGACGTCCGTCAAGTTGGCACCACATTCACATTCAGATTCAGGTCCATATTCAGGATTCAGCGGACTCCTCAAATTGCCCTGAAACTTTGCACACAGATGCGGTTTAACTTCCTGAACACAACAAGCACAAAATCTCGGACCGGTACGCCCTATTACTGGAGATAAAGCAGCTTCGGCATTTGAAAAGCTGTAACTTTTTTTGGTACAGCGTACCGGTCCCAAATTTTGTGTTTATCGTAATCATGGGGCTAATATGTACCAACACACGGATTTCGGAAGGGATTGAACGAGTCCGCATTTTTTATTGTGATCTTTCATATTGTGATATCTCCCGTAATAGGGCGTACCAGTCCGAGATTTTGTGCTCACTGTGCTCAGGAGATCCAACTGCATCTGTGTGCAAAGTGTCAGGCCAATTTTAGAAGTCCGCTGAATTTCGAGTATGAAACTGAGTTAAGCATGATAGAATGCAATACGTGCTGCATTCGCGACCTTGACATTATAACAGCTATAACTTTTTTGATCCATCGTACCGGTCCAAGATTTTGTATTTATCATAATCAGTAGGTCAATATCTACTAGCACGCGGAGTTGAAAAAGAATTGAAGGAGTCCGCCTTTTTATTGTGATCTTTGATATTGATATATCTCCGGTAATAGGGCGTACCGGTCCGAGATTCTGTGCTCATTGTGTTCAGGAGGTTAAACTGCATCTGTTTGCAAAGTTTAAGGGCAATTTGAGGAGTCTGCTGGATCCCGAATACGGACCTCAATCTGAATGTGAATGTGGTGCCAACTTGACGGACGTATGTTAAGTTACATGGCAAATAGCTACCAAATTGAACTGCTACGAAAGTAACGCTAGCAAGACAACCGAAATGCTCGCTTGCAATGGTATTTATCGTCTTGGATGCAGGGATGCAATGACACACAGGCCGCTTTGCTCAGTGTTATGTTAGCCCTTACTTAGCTATCGCTGGCCAAAAGTGCTCTATTGTAGACAACTCAACCAATACTGTGCGATAAGGTAAGGTGTTGAACTGATTGAAACGCCTGGAGGAGGGCATACATGTCGGGCATACCGTATTTTCAGTAGATGCCCGTGGACGTGACTGCGGTCATGCCTATAACATTGCACACAGTCATATTTTTGTGTGAAACACCCAAATAAGAGTCATGAAAATGTCATTAGAGGCAATGCTGAGCAATGTGTGTGTGTGTGTGTGTGGGTGTGCATAAGTGGGGGCAGGTTGGTTAGAAATCTGGGGCCTCTAATGGTGACTGTACAGTAACACATAATGCATCCACCACACTTAATGTATATGGCCTTCTTTGTTGATATAACCAGTACATTATACAAACAAATGTCTGTATGTTTAACAGTCATGTTCACTTTTCAGGAACAATGGTATTCCCAGTTGGAGGACAGCAGTTGTTTGTGGGGGAGGGAGATTTCTCTTTGACCCGCTCTCTTTTTGAGCATCACAGTCTTCCCAAGGATGCCATCATATCATGTTTCTCAGAGGATCTCACTGAGGAAGCTGCTGAGAATGCTGAATACCTATCATCAGCAGGTGAGAGGCTTTGTGCCTTGCCATGTCATTGTAATAGCATGCATGGCAGTGTAGTATCAGCTTTTTGTATAATGTGTTCATATGACTATCCCCGATCTATTTTGTCCTATGTTCAATTCCCAATTGCACCCATATTATTGGTGTTCATTACATAGTTTTCTAAGTGACATCATGTGAGCTGTCTGTAAAATAAGCAAGCAGTCATATCTTTTCCCCTCCATTGTACCTTGTAGTTATGCTCTCTGGTTATGCCCCCCAGCCTGCCTGTTGAATTTCCTCCCCCTCTCTATTGCATATCCCCAATCTGTGAGCAGTTTCAAGTAAGGGTTGTTTATAATGCCTTAGTTTTTTAGAAATGATGTGTTATTTAGTTACCTTATAATTCAAAGATGTTTCCTAGCTTGTCCCAAGCAGGAAGATGCTGGAGTGACCTTTTCTTTCCCCAGGGATATCTGTGATAACTGGTGTTGATGCAACATGCCTAGAAAAACATCCAGATATATCAAGGCATACATTTGACTACATAATCTTTAATTTTCCTCATACTGGGCACAAAATGAAGATTCAGCTATGCAGAACACTGCTCAGAAATTTCCTTTGCTCTGCATCAAGCCTGCTGACTGCTCAGGGACAGGTTAGTGCAGACCTCAGTGAGAATTAGTGGGGATGACTACAAGCAGATGGGAAAATGTATGGCACTAGCTGAGAGATCTAAGCACTCAGCAAGGCAAGGCAAGGCAATGCAGATTTGTGGTGTGGTCTGATTGGGGGGGGGGGGGGGATGCTATAGTACCCTCCAGCCGAGGATTCAAGAGACATCCCTGTGACCTGGTGCTTGATGGGACACCATGTGGTCAATGTTGGGAGCGTGTGATGGAATGACTCTGTTCTCTCATCGGGTTTGCACAAGCTAGCAACTGCAGTGCAGCTGGCTGGTGTATTTTGTTCCCGCCTGGTCGACGTAGCCTGGAAGATCGTCTGTATGGCCTGAACCTTGTTGCCATGGGATCGTGATTTTGTCTTCCTTCCTGCGCCGATTTGAGGCTGGTTGTGAGTCCTTGGCAACCGTGCTTTGCGGGCATGTAAACGAAGTGATCTGAAGAAACCTGTGCAGCCTCTGTGCTCAAAAGGCACAAAGATGTGCTGATTTTTTACTGACATATGTTAGTTGATCAGCACTTGCGGGCTGTGTGGGACATGGCCGGGATCACACAATCACCATGTCTTGTACAGTTTGCCGGGAATCTTATGGGGGGGCTTCTGTGATTGATATGGTCGGAGGCCAACCTGACTTCTGCCAGTTGTGCAGCGCCACCGATGGCGAGGACGGCGACGCCATCTGCACCGCGTCCAGTCAACGAAAACTTTGGATGGCGCCACCAGTACCGCTTAGCCAGAGGATCGCATCGCGTGCCGCGCGCCGGGAAAATGGCTGGCACGGGGCGACACGCACCACCGATGGCCGCCAGGCGGGCAGCGCACGACTGATGAAGGCACAGGCACAGCGGGTCATGTCCGCGTGAGCTGTCTGCTCCCCGTGAACGTGCGGCGCCTGGAGTCGACCGGCAGACAAGACCTGCGTAAGAGTCCAGAGACAGTGGTGTCATACGCTTTACGCCCAGCAGAGTTGCAAAAGCTAAGAAAGCAGAAAAACGCAATACGCAACAAGCTAGAAATGATACTATGATATGGTGAATTAGTCTATAATTAAGTAGGATTCTTTTGGATAGGAAATAATAGGACAGAAATTATTAAGCTAGAAATAATACTAGAAGTACTACCATGTGCTATGTATCTGTTGCGTTTTATCTAAAGGGTCTCGTCTGCTAGGGCAGCGCTGGTCTGTTGATGGTAAAAGAAAATAAACGAATAGACATACACGTTCACTGAAATCAGTTTTAAATCGAGACATTTTCAGGGGATAGTGAACCTGTCTTTGACTAAACGAGGCTCTATCCCCCGAAAAAGAAGCTTGTATTTACGGAATGCTTCAACCACTCCAGTCTCGTGGTGAGGAAATGAGGGATACATTTTTAAGTTGGTCACCCAATCCTGACGTGCCCCCGCCCCCTCCAAAGCTCTTCGTAGACCCATCCCAATGAACAGAAGGAAAAATGAATACTGTACCAAGGAAATGCAGAAATATCCTGTTTTCCCCTATTCCTTTGCACGTGTTGCTTTCCAATTCCTTTGTACGTGAGACCAGTCTGCAACGCAGGGTTTTTAAGGGACAGAACTTGGATTGAAACAAACAAGGAATGCATTATGCGGCGGTGTTTTAAGCAAAAGATGGCCCGTTTTAGGTAATGTGGGCTGTATAAGGTTGAAGATATACAGTTCACCACGAGCGCCGCACTTTAAGAACATTACAAAAACATGACGAGCGTTCCAGTCGCCCAGGGTTACCGCATCAATCACGATGCCAGAGGACTGACCGGTGCCCTCCAGACTTGTCAAGCCGCCATCCGACCACGTGCATCACTCCGCTCGACGACACCACTACGCTCCTGCGCTGTACGGCGTCGCTTCGAGAGGCGGGCGCCACGGCCGGCGCGTCGTCGAGACATAACGCGTCGGGGAACGCGAGCTTTCGTGGCGTGCGTGCCAGCCCCTTGTGCAGCAAGACACGGCGGAAATACCAATCCACGATCGGCGACATCGTGGCTCGACGTAGGGCCCCTCTGAAGGGCCTTCCTCCGCCCGGACGCGGCGCATCGACCGGTGCCTCGAGTTCTCGTACCACTGAACGGGCCTCTGATACAGTAACGGCTTATGTGCATCACATAATAACTGTGATACGTAAGTGTTGATGTTATGTGGCGTGTCCTTAAGATCCATTAAACGCACCACATTACGAATTGTGTCGTGTTCCGTCTCCCCCTCGTGGAACTGGTGGCGAAATGCTTGGAGGTTGGATGTGCCAGCAAAAATATCACACACGGACGCCCCATTTAAGCCGCCGAACGGCAAGGCAACTCGGTAGGCTCCGAGTAGTTTCTTGTCTGCGGCAGGTGCTGGTGACAATACCGTGTCTACGGCAGGGATGGGTGACACTGCACGATGTGCGCGGCAGGTGCGGGTGCCACTGTACTGTGTGTGCGGCAGGGGTGGGTAACACTACCGTGTGTGCGGTAGGTGCGGGTGACATTTTACTGTATGTTCGGCAGGTGCGGGTGACACTGCCATGTGTGCGGCAGGTGCGGGTGACACCACCGTGTGTGCGGCAAGTGCGGGTGACACTGTACCTTGTATACGGCAGGTGTGGGACGCAATGTATCGTATGTGCGGCAGGGGTGGGTGGCACTGTGTCGTATGTGCGGCAGGGGTGGGTGACACTGTACCGTATGTGCGGCAGGTGTGGGTGACGCTGTGCGCCGGCCAGGGCGGCACGGCCGGTGAGGTGGCACCCCGCGCCTGGTCCGACTCGTGGCAGCTGACGGCGCAGGCGGCCGCCGCGGGCCTGCTGCTGCGCCGACTGGAGCCGTTCCGACCCGAGCTGTATCCAGGCTACCGACCCACCGGCAACCGCGGTCGCCAGAGCCGCACCTTCCACACCGGGTGTGTGCAGCGCGCGCGCCTCTCGCCCGCCCCTCTCGGCCGCTTGGGGTCACATAATTGCATGATTTACGTTCAAGTCTCCGTGCCAATGGCTAATTCATAACGCGAAGTGCCGCTGTATATTCTGTGAGCAGCAAGGGAATACAGTTTTGGGTGAAACGTTCAAAACGTCTGGTGTAGAAATGCTTTGTTAATATGCTGATTGCCATGTGTCTGTAGTATGTGGGCTAAATGCACGGTGCGCGCCAAGTTTACTGGCCACCCATGACAAAAATATCCTCAATATCTTCTTTGCGATAAGAATATTATTCGCTGGGCAAGTCTTTGTTTCAAAGTTTCATGCTTCGCTGCAAAGCGCACATCACTTACCCCAGGAACATTTGTAGCCCGAGGTAATTACCATAAAAATAAGCATCCTAAATTCCCATACCTTGGCTTTCCCAGGCGCTTCAAAGGATGTTGGAACATTGGACGCATTAGACGATTGTGACAACGGGATTCTGGGCTCGGCTTCTTGTTTCAAATTGCTGTGGGCGAGCAGAACTCTGCGAAACTCTTGACGAACTCATCGTCGTCATCCTGTAACCGGAGCCGTCGCTGCCGCAGGCGGGGCGTGATACACGTGCTGGTGCGGGGCGCGCCGCTGCCGTTGGACCGCCTGGCAGACCGGCTGGACGCTGGCGGGCGGGCGCTGCTGCTGGACGGCGCGCCACTGCCTCTCGCTCAGTACTGGCTGCGCCGGCTGCCCCCGGCCGACGACAGCCTGGCCGCGCTGATCGTCAGCCGCCTGACGTCCGCCGCGGCCGCCGTCCGCCGCCGTCTGCTGGTACGCCACGAGGGCCGCCTGTTCCGCGCCGAGGACGCCGTGTTCGAGTCGGCCGGCGACGGTGACGTCCGCTGCCGGAGCGGCGCCGACGAGCGCGCGCCGGACGGCGTGTGCGTGACGTACACGGCCGAGGACGGCGAGGTGGCGGCCGGCGTCGAGTGGGCCCCGCTGCGCACCGTCGTCAGCGCGGCCGGCGTGCCCGACGCCGCGCCCGACGCGCGCGCCGCCCTCGCTGCGTTCGGCCTCGCCTGCAAGCAGGCGCGCCAGGGCGACGACGTGGAGCTGAACGTCGGCTGCGGCGGCGCCGCCGTGCGCGTGGCCAGCGTGCTGACCGAGCGGGGCGGCTCGGCGCCGCGCGTCGTCACCACGTACTACGTGGACGGCATCGCCGCGTGCTGGGCCGGCAGCGACGACTGGCGGCAGGCGGCGCGCGCCGACTTCCGCGCTGACGGTGCTCGCCTTGCGCTAGACAGCGTGTACCACCCGCCCGCCTACCAGCTGGACATGAGCTTCTGGCTGGACGGCGGCGCGGCCGCGGACGAGTCGTTCTCGTGGGCGCGGCTGCGGCGCGCGCTGCGTGCCGTACTGGGCGAGGTGCTGGTGTCGCTGAGCCGACTGGACGAGTACACGCAGCCGGACTCGGGCCGGCGCGCCTGCACCGTGCGGCTGCAGTACCAGGACCTGAGCAGCCCGCTGAGCTACGAGGCCGCCCGCCGCCTGCACGTGCAGGTGCTGCCCGACATACTGAGCCACGCGCTCGGTGTGCAGCCGCGGTGACCCCGGCCCCGGCCCACACGCGGGCTAGGTGCGGGGCAGCGAAGTTGGGTATGGGGTGTCGGCGGTGATGTCCCGTGTTGTTCGACTGTGGTACTGCGTGGTGCCGCGAATACAGGCAGAGATGACACCTGCAGATGATTGTTGGTCGTGGCGGATGATTGCTGGAGAAAAAAAAACACGCCGCCGGTTGACGTCGGTAGGCCGCCTTTTGAGACAAGGATGAGCGAGATGCTGGAATACGCGATTGCTTTTGTCAATTAGGTGGTGCTGGTACATAAGCAAGCAAATGAATCCAGATCCTTTAGGAACCCATACGGACGTGGTCCTCTAATGTGTTTTTCATGGTACCCGCCTTCCATGCGGGTGCAGTATAGTGACAAAAAATATGGTCGAGGCACGCTGATTCTTGACCTCATGAATTTACAAATGATTGCTGACATGTCGGCTGGTTTGGGGGCTGTCAAGGCGCGGTAAATTGAATCGATGACGTGGAGAAGTTGGCAGTTTTTTTGTGAGTGACGAAGCAATGATAAAGAGCGGTGATGTTTTGGATAAAAGTTGGCCAAAATAGGATGGGCTATATGCGTCCATGTAGTTTTCGTGGCCAGATCTATACCCGTTTCGGCCGCAGCCCGCTGCATTTGAGGCCGGTTTCAGTAGGGTGCTGGTGGCTGCTTCCCGGTATGTTACTGACGCACCTGTTCAGTTTACGTGGTGTGATCGTCGATGATTTATGCACACCGTATGTGTCTTCACCGTACATCCGAGCCTAGTCCGGAGGCTGATTCGTCGAAATGCAATGACAATTTTTTTTTCTTTCCTCTGCACCGAATAATCCAAAAAGTTGCCTTCCATCATAGAATGAATCTGTTTTCGGACGTTTGCAGTGAATCTGGAAAACGGAAACGTAAAACTAAGGGACAGGAAATCAATAATGAGTCAGTCTGGAGTGAGTTCTGACCTCAACTCAACTTATTATGTCGAAGCGCGACCTGAACCTGTCTGACGCACGTCCCGCAGCTTTTTCGTGATTTTAGTCAAAAATGATTGAAATCCATGCCGAGGCGCTCAATGTACCTGTACGTACAGAAGACGAAGCAACGATGACTTTAAGTCACAATGGGAACAACGGGCACACGGATTGTCCGCCGTAGGCCATTTCCAAGTCGTAGGGGATACAGCTGGGTTAAAGGACAGGAGTGGGCACCGACGCGGGAAATAGACTCGGGGAAGATTTCGACTTTTGTAATCGTTGCATCGTCTTTGCTACGTCCAGATCAAGTCCACGTAGGAAGTGCAGTTACAATTCAATGGATCAAGAGGCCTGTCGACATATGGGAGGCTTTCCGGCACCTGAATTTTTGTTTAAAAGGTCAACGCCACGACAATCACGTGGATGCGAGAAGTGGTGATGCCACGCTACAGAAATACGCCGCATAATCAGACAGCCTGTATTAAACGACGCCAAGACATTCTTTAATATAGCTTGTAAAGCATCGTGCTCCTTGTTGCTGAGAGATTAATTAAAATTGCAGCGCGTGATATTCCGCTTCAGCTGGCATTTGTGATTGATTGATCCTTAACCGCAAAGAAAGAAAAACATCGACAGCGTGATTGACTGGTCACGTTCTCTGACGCCACCCACTCTCCTGTCGCTGGACATGAGCTTGTTTGGCGTGCGGCCTCAATTGTGAAGAATGTATGATTGGGGTAATGTCAGCGACAATGTATTTAATAAATCATATCAAGCTCCAGCGTTCTGCTACGCAAGTCCTTTTCTCATGCTTCATCGGATATGCGGGTTCTTATCAGAGAAGCAATTTCACGACCACGATCTACAGCCCTGTCATTTTTATTTAGGCTCTCGACAATATCATTCGAGAACATTGCTGTGACATCGAGACATAAGTCACGGAGCAACAATGCAAATGATAGCGTCCACAAATTCCGTTACACATGGAGGGTGGGGAGTCAGATGGAGCGTCACCGAACCGCAACGGGGAAGAGAGGGGAAGTTTTGTAAACAAACAAAAATGTAAAAGCCGGATGCTGTCGGTTTCCATTCATGACGAGGGCACGCTTTTTTGCATCTGTAGCTCCATTAGGGGCCAGGCGGAAGTCACTTTGTTGGGGACGTCACGCCTGACAAGCGTAACTGCGGGGAGGGTCCCGTTCAGCGCAGCCGGAGGATGGGAGGGTTAAAAATGGCAGAAAATGCGTAAAGCAATCTATGGACAACCCATATATCCTTGCCTAAAATTGCAAAACGGTGCCGTTACGTATTTTACAAAGCAGCGACAAAATAATGAAGCATATCACATGTTGGCGTGACCGTCCTGTTCCACACCTGCTTCGCAGCTTGTCTAGGCCCGAGACACCGCTTAGTTTATCACAGCCTCCTGCGTCACCTCGCGCGAATAAATTGAAAAGACAAAACATGCATTCAGAAGCACTTCAAGGTTTGAGGGTCAAACTCGCCCTTTCCGTGGCCTCTTCGGCGGCGGGCAGCCGCGCCCATCACTACTAGTGGGATTTTTTCTTCCCTTGGCCGGTCCCACCCAATCATCGTCGGAATCCGCGCCGCTGGTGGACTCCATCCAATCACCGTCCCACTCCTCCGCACTTTCCGGCCACTCTACGTTTTCGGCGAGTTCTTCCGTACCTGTGTTGAGCTCTGTCACACCTTCAGCACTCTCCTCCCCTGGTTCGTTAGTGTCCCCCGTCCCCTCAACGGGCTCCTCGAGCAGCGCCTCCGGCGGCAGGTCCTCGAACTCGTCAAAGAAGTCTGTGATGGCCGTCTGGCCACCGCGCTGCTCCTGTCGACCCTGACTGGCGTCTGTGAAGTCGTCCTTGGTGAGGCCGGCCTTGTTGAGCACGTCCAGCTTGCTCTGCACCAGCGGCCAGATGTGGTCGTCGGCCGTCCCCCGTGCCACCAGATACCGCACCTGCGGTCGGAACCACAGTCAGCACCTTCGCTCTGCGGGGGTCGTAACAGCGGACGCAGCGACGTGGCGAGGGTTCCGACTGGGGTTCTGGCCCGGTCCCGCCACCAGCTTATTTTCAACCCATCTGTCCAATAAGTTCGGTCCGACCCCGGATGGAGGCAAGAATAGAATGCCCGTCCAGAACTCGAAGTCATTAGGGAAACAAATGTTAAAAAACACCGACCAAGAAAGAAGCGTACTATATGCTCACATTTACAAGTACGCCAGAGCATAAGGAACATTTCATTAATCCTACACCACATGACGCGGGCATAGACATCCTGCAACCAACCACAACCACAAACCTGACTCACGCCAATCGACCTTATGCCACCGCGCAAGGATCCGTACTGCAGTATTTTGTAGATACGCATGGCCCAACCCTGAATCCAAACTCATCTCACACACTCCACAGTAAAAATATATCAACATTTCACCAACCTCGCCCAGGCTTTAACAGCATCGCACTGTATCCTGGGGCAATCAGCAGAATGACCGCTAGCGCTCACTGCTGATGACATCCAACAGACAACCAAAAGGCATAACTTAGAATGAAATTATGGTGCGCCAGCAGACCAACCTTTTCGACTGGTTCAAAAAAGTATCCAGTCAGACTTCTTTTCAACAAGTGTCACTACGAGCTTGCTTCGGAAACTCGCCACGTCAGATACCTTAAGAAGGGAGGTGGCCGGCTGGATACTCTTCGCTCGAGTGAGGCTCGGGTGGGAGGGGGGGGGGGGGGGTCAATTTGACCCCTGAGATATCAGAAACTAGGAGAGTTAGAGACACCAAATAAGCAGGGTGTGTTGAACTATGCGTGAACATACTTAGGTCAAAGTTTGAGGTTCTTAGGTTATGACCTTCAGGTCAAATAGGTCAAACACGGTCAAACTCCAGGTTGGTCTCCAAAGTGTCCCCAGAAACTATATAACTGCCTAGAGCAAAAGGCCACATTCTCATTCAAGGTCAGTGGTCTTGTTTAACCTTTTGAAGGCCGTGGTGACCAAAATCATACCAGACTGCTTTGAGTTTTGCACTTGAATAAGCGACAAAGATTACGCTAGGCAGTACGTGCCTAAAAACAAAATGTTGACCCGGGCCATTTTAGGTCAGTGACCTATTCTGACTTTTAACAAGTCCATGGGATATGTGTAATGCGGTTTCTGTCATCAATAAATTCGAAATAAGCACCAGAAACTGCCTCATACAGCAAGAAATAGAGCTATAAAACGGGTTGGTTATGACCATGGTCTGTCCTTCATACCTGACCCTAGGTCAATGCTATTTGTTCATTTAATTGCTGTGTTGCCTGAGAAAGTCTAACACTCAGTTGCTGCATCAAATTGAACGATTCCGAAGAAACTGACAGCGCGAAAAGCATGGCCTAACTTTGACCTGCCATAGGCCAGCGGCCTTACAAGGCACATCTAAATTTTTGATACTATACGATCCGCTATTCAATTGTCTAGAGCTATGCAAAATTTGGCGCGGCCTCGCCGCGTCGTTTGGAAACCATTCCGGAAAAAAACCTTCGGGGGTGGTCAATTTGACCCCCGCCCGAGCGCGTATTAAAATGTCATTCTGAGCCGCTCAACATGCAACATTAACAACAGCCAGCCCTGCAGATCGTAAGTCTATTTCGTGATGAACAAGGCGAGCGGCCCGTTGCCGGGCGGATTCAAAACATTCAGAAGACTTATAAGATTGCTGGTGGCTGCACGTGCGGACATTATTGTGTGGAATGGGTGTCGGCGAGAGTTAGGCAATGATAAGTGCAATAAAACAAATCATTCACGCCTAAGGAGTTGAACTATTTATGTTTGATTGAATCACGTGGACTGACAGGAGCGAGGTTGCCAATAGTCTATCACGTCAAGCCGCTAACACTCCGCCACAAGATGGAACGAACGGACGAGAATCCCTGCCTCGCAGTCGTTCACAACCAGAAAATCACAAGAATGGGCTATACATTACGTAATGGAGGCATATCCTAGAGGCAGTAAGAAAACTGATTTATACTGACTTAAACTTTTATCGCCACCAGAGTTGAAGAATAAACGTACGACACCAGGTTAAGTACAACCCAGCATAACAGACACCCCCAGCATGCCCGCTCATGTCCGACAGCGTGCAGCTCTCTTGTGCTGTATCATTTTATCTCAACCAAATCCATCTTTGGCTGGACAGCAGCATATTCCACATTCCCGTCAAGCGCCCTCCGAACCCCCCCCCCCCCCTTGTTGTTGTTGTTGTTTAATGATGTTTTCAGGCGCGCCAACTGCAGTGGTCATTTGGCACCCATAACGAGTTTTGTTTTACCTAACTAATGAGCCGTGTAAAGACTCACGAAGGTGATATGTTTAAGGAATAAAAAAACCGTTGACATTCAAGAACGCGCGAGTTGTCTCCTTACATCCGACCCCCCCCCCCCCCCCAAATACAGGCACTTGCACGACATGCATGGGCGGGCCAATTTCCGTCTAAACGTCATCTTCCTCTCCCAAACAGATAAATAAACCCCGTCTTTGCCCCATCACCACCCTGTTACCCGTTTCCACCTAAGCATCACCCCGTCTACAGCGCCCCGTCCACACCTATACGCTATCCTCGCTCAACACATGTTTCAGCACCGTCGGCGCCTAAACGGCATTTCATTCCACAACTACGCCATGACCTGAACGCCAGCCATTTGCCCAAGCAGGCTTTGCGTGTGCACCATGTCATTCCCCAACCATCATCGGCAGAACACCACGTCATTCCCCGACATTCATCACAGGAACACCATGCCGTTCCCGCATCCTGTTCTCACGTGGACACCACGTCATATCCAGACCAAGTCCCAATTCCCACGTGCCGTTCCGTTTCAGCACGTTGCCCTCACAGGACTACAATGCCATCCTCCGAACCCGTTCTCGCCTAAACACCACGCCAGCTGAAGCCATGCGCACACCAGCCCACCACTCCGTTCCCCTCGCATGCTCTCACCTGCACGCAGTCCTGCTGGCCGATGCGGTGCGCGCGGTCCTCGGCCTGCGTGAGCACGCCCGGGTTCCAGAAGAGCTCGGCGAACACCACCAGGTTGGCGGCGGTCAGCGTCAGGCCAGCGTTGGCCGCCGTGATCGACAGCACCGCCACCAGCACGCCGTCGCCGCTCTGGAAGCGGTCGCACTCGCGCTTGCGCTGCGCTGCTGACGTGGCGCCGTCGATGCGGATGAAGCCGTGCTTGCGGCGCGTCAGCAGCTCGCACACGCCGTCCATCACCATGCTGGTGGTGCGCGAAGCAGATGAACTTGTTGCCCGCTTCCAGCAGGTCGTCCAGGTAGCTGCAGACGGCGGGCAGCTTGGCACCGGCCGTCTCGCGGAAGTACTGCAGCAGCGTGCCGCGCCGCTCCATGCTCTTCAGCGAGCGCTGGCCCATGCGCTGCTCCAGTTGCGTCATGACGGCCGTGCGCGCGCGCACCTGGCTCGGGTCCAGCAACACCATCTGTCGCCGTTTGGCCGGCAGCTGCCTGATAACGTCACGCTTCAGCCGGCGAATCATGACGCGCCGCTCGAGCAGCGCGTGCAGCTCGGTCATGTGCGACGCGCCTGAAAAGTCCCAGCCCCAAGCGGTGCGCGTGCCGGCGCAGTAGCGCATGCCGAAGTCCTGGAAGGACGGCGAGAAGCCGCGGTCGACGGCGCAGATCTGGGTGAAGAGCTCGATGGGCCGGGAGAGCGCTGGCGTGCCGCTGAGCAGCAGGCAGCGACGCGCCGCGCGCATCAAAGGCAGCGCCGCCCGCGTGCGCGCCGCCTTGTGGTTCTTCAAACAGTGCGACTCGTCCATGATAACTGAGAGGAAGCCGACGTCCCGCAGTCGGCCGGCGCAGCGGGTGACCAAGTCGTAGCTGACAATGAGGATGCGCGCATCGGCATCGAAGTCCTTGGCCGTGTCCATGACGACGATGGTGGAGGGGTGCTGGGAGGGTAGGAAGCGGTGCAGCTCCTGGCGCCACTGATAACGCATCGAAGACGGACAGACCACCAGCAGCGGCCAGTCGTGGAAGTAGCGCATGATGCCGATGGCCTGGATGGTCTTGCCGAGTCCCATGTCGTCGGCGAGGAGCACGCGGCCGCCGCGAGCCACACCCATCCGAATGCCATCCTGCTGGAAGGGCATCAGGGCCTCCAGCAGGGCCGGGTCCAGGCCGGACAGGTCAATGTTGTCGGCTGAGGGCGGCGGCTGGCGCAGACAACGCAGCACATGGGCTGGCAGCGGTGCCAAGGCCACAGCTGGTCTCAGCTCCTTCAGGGACTCCACCACCTGTTCATGGCTAGACAATGGGAAGGACCACCGCTTCTCATCTGGATGGTATGTGCGGCCTGCAATTAGCTTGAACCTGGCAATCATGTCCTGGTTGTAGCCAATGTCTACTGTGAATCTCTCTGCAGATATCAAACAGAGGGAGCCTGTTAATGTTGGTTTGTTCTGACTGTAAAAGCTGCTCTTGCTATGTGATGGCATGCCTGCTCCACACACCAACTTGCCTGGCTTTATTGACACAACAGGGTTACTGCCACTGCTGAGTGTGGCATCTTGGTTAGCTGTTGATGACAGAGCAGCAGGAACCTTACATGTAACAACCCTTGACTGCATTTTGTTCTGAGGCAAATTTGCATTTCGCTCAGCACGCCTCAAGAGTGCTTTGTGCCTATTCTCTTCAATCCTTAATTTCTGTTCCTTACTCAGACCAGACATCTTCCAATCTTTTCCATTGATGGTCTATTTTCTGTTCAACTAAAAAATATCACACAAAACAAGTGATTATTCCATAGCATATGTCAGAGCACAATGCAACATACTTGATTTTAACAGTGACCAAACCACTTAAATGGTAAGAATATTTAGGTCATAAATTCAACAAAAATGGCAAGCAAGAAGTTAACAGAGATCACTGGTTAGTGCATGAGCCCTCTCCTCACCATCTGACTGAGAAATTCCAGCTCAACTGCAGAATTCTGAGTTCAGGAGTTTTTCATAAGATAGAATACATGACCACCAGCTATTTTTCTTAACTCTAGCTCAGGCACATCTTGCCTGCCTAATTCCCTGGTTTCATTCCTTTACTTAAATATCTCCTCACTAGGTAGCAAATTCCAGTCACCATCTCCCTCGCACCATAACCATGGTGGATCATGGTTCACGAGCATCACATGCTCAACAGGACAGGCCCAATGTGGCATGCCATGATCTTTTCAGCTTTTTGGAGTCATGCATATATCATATGAAGTTTGCATGATGAATGCAAATCATATTTTGAACTTGGATACAATCAGTACGTACGTGAGGTAGCCCTAAAAAGTGTGAACAGTTCAAGGATAGTTTTCCACTAATTCAAATCACTTCCTCCGTTTCCAACGGCCTCATGAATTTTCATGATGTTCCTGCAAATAAGAAAAATCACATAAGGAAAGTGCATGGGTAGTAATCACTTACCTTTCGACGCGAGGTTCGAATTCAGCCACACTCGGCAACCACCATGCCGTCGCGAGCGAAATACAATATCATACGCACCGCGACCATGCTCTTGCGCGATAACAATGACGATCAGCTGTTGAAGCAAACTGATCCCTTCAAGCCAAAACTAACATCTTTGGAAAAAAGAACCAATCAGAACGAGCTAACACATTATTCATGCAATCAACTACCAATTGCACCGAAACATGCAGTCGAGAAGTCCTTGTCGAACAGCTCGGGTTCCAGACCCTTGTGAAGGATCGTTTAGCTATTTTGTTCATTGGTTGTGGTTGTGGCTGTAGGTGGTTGTCTCGGAGCGACGTGGGAGTGTAGTCGTGTTCGGCCTGTGTACGGCGCGGTAAGTATGGCGATGGTTGCCTTTGTGATAGGCCTGGATTGCGTCGTTGTCCAGTTTTTTTCGTGAATGTCCACGCTGAAACGGATGGAATGGGATACGCAAGTTCAAGTTCACATTTAGCTTGGGTTATCTATTCTCGTTACGGCGTTTCCGGCGCATTGTGATGAACTAGGTTTAGGCGTCATCGTCGCCCATTTATATTTGTAATTGCATTCTGAGCGGTGAATGTGTTGCGGGTGTATGCAAAACAATATTTGTATGTTGTGCTCTCCTTGTGTCAGCAATGTTGGGTGTTGTGCTCCTGTATTGCCCTCTGGGTTGCAAGTAATGCATGGTACTCTAACTTTGTCTGGAGTAGAAGCAGCATTGACAGCAATTTCAGGATTATGAGTTGAATGTTGTTATTGTGGTAAACAACCTTAAATATAGTAGGAGGTGCAGGTGGGCTGGTTTTATGCTAAGTAATTATATTGAAGGTACCCAACATTTTAAGCTGTGCTTATCATCCAGAGTAGCAAGGGCTCAGAAAAGCTCAGCAAAATATTGCACTGCTGAACATTTCTGAATCTTTGTCACTCTTGAAGAATGCTGCCAAAATTATACTTGATATCATGATGTCATTTAACTGAACCTAGCATACTAAAGGTTTTTAACAAAAAGCACAAACTTCACTCATGCTGAAAAAGCTGAAGCTAAATAAACATGGTAGGGAAACATTTCAACATTTTTTCATCAAAAATGATATGCAAATGCAACAGGATATGTGGCTTGGCCTGGGGTTAGTTGATGCAGGCATGAGAACAAGTACACCCATGTCTCATGTGCATAGTGAATGAATCCTTTTGCAGACTTAACTGCCCTTATATATTAATTTTGTTGCATTTATAGCAGCTTAAATTGTATGTGAGAATCACATAATTTTCAATAGCAATATGCATGCAACAGAGGTATTTGTGCTATTTAATATATATATATATATATATATATATATATATATATATATATATATATACTTATTATCTTATATTGCTCCAATGTGTAGAATTGTGGTCATTTTGGGTACAAATCTTTAATAGCACTCCTCTTTTCTAGGTTTTGAATGTTTTTCTGTGATTCATATTGGAGCACAATATAATTATGTTATTATTTTCTGAATCTTGTTATTGTTTGTGCCATGTTTGCATTCCTTATTCATTGTTTTCCATCACCATATCATTCCTCTGCATTATGGCTATCTTAGTCTTCCTTAGAAGCTGCTTCATGTTGCATAGAAAGTTTTCTGTGTGTATCTCAGAGAACAGCTACAAGAAGCTGGGTGGCCTACAGTTATGATGCAACTGAGGGCGTGAGGATGTACTGTGCAAGGATGTGTGTATGCTGTTGTTGGCTGAAAATGGTCCTTGTTAGTTTCCTGACAAAAATATTTTGGGCCTTGTTAAACTGTGTAATGTGTAAGTGCAGAATAATATTTACTTTGTCTTAAGACCAATTTTATAGCAAATATTTCCCAGAATATGGGACTTGCCCATCTTCATGATTTAAAGCATCTCATGTTGGATGACTGCAGGTGAAGCACACCCTTGTTTGTAATCATGATGCCCAAAACAAATATAATTTGTCCCTTTCCTGGTTTACAAATGATTTCAACATGTAGATATGGTGGCATATCCTGCTTCATGCTTGGTGCACACTGATCACTTCCAATAATCAGCCAGCAAATTCTGAAAGCAGTGTGGGTTTTATTCCCTTTTATCTTACATGATTGCAACAATTTGTTTTGCTTTCCTTATCATGTTATGCTGATTCATATATCTTATATATCATGTCCAATGCAGTGTAGCCAGAGCCAGCAAAATCAGGCTTATTTGTAAGCAATTTGCATGCCTGTGGTAGACATGCTTGTATGTCAGCCCCAATTTACTCATCATGATGGTGCCATTTTATTTTGTATTTTACCATTAATTTGGTGTCATGCTCATTTTGTGATGAATATCAGACATCATCCTCATGGAATTTCAACTCAAAAGTGAGTTGACCATTTCTGTATGTGGGTTGCTCATGGTGACTGCCGACCAAACCTTTTTGTCTGTGGTGGCACTCACCTGGCATGTTTGTATCACACCAATGTAAAATTCATATGTTTATCACTCTTTACCTGATGTGTTAGCTAAGGACATTGGTGCATTGTGCAAGTGTTCTGCACATGGGGAGGAGTGCAGACGTGGGTGCATGTGGATGCGCTGTATGAGTTGCATTATAATATCATTGTTTGGTAATTGTTTGCTATTTCTACTCAACAGTTAAATGAACCATATTGGGTGATAAGTTCAATATAATGAACACCAAAGGACATGATAAGGAGAAGTAAAAGTTTTAGCTGGTAGATATGCATGTAGAAGCTTGTTTGCAGAGTGGCACAGCCAACATCATTTCTGATATTGGTTGTGTTGGCTTAAGTAATATTTTTGGTAGAGTGAACAACCTGTCCTTGGGTGTGCCCCTGAACCTGTGTTTTAAGTGGCATCATTTAGTTGGAGGTGAAGAAAGAAATCTGGTATTCCTGTGGCAGTTGTGGAAATCTGGCACTGTAAAAAGCAGCCTAAGAATCTGAGAAGCAGCTAAGTGACCTAGAAGCAGATCTTTTGTTAAATATCCAGGTGAAAGAACATCACATCTGTCCCTCTTATCCTCTATCTTGCTTCATCCTGCATCCTCGCGACACCCCGCTTGTCCGGGGCAGGCTGCAGGTGTCAGCCATGGGTGGGCTGAGAGCCCAGTGGGAAGGGGGACCCCTACCAGGTACCCGGGGTTAAAGCTCGGCGGTTGGCCCCCAGGCGCACACATGTCTGTCACATTGCTTACCATTTTCCTTCATCCCATAATCCTGAAATGATCATTTCTGGTCGAAAGGGCTCTAATCCGAAAACCAAACCAAAAACCCAGGTGAAAGATGCCTCTCTGATATCTGCATCAGGGGTGGTGTCCAGCACAGTATCAAAAATACAAAAGAGATGTTGAAAACATAATGGGTATACTAAAGACTTACTGTTGGGTAACTCATCACATGATGATTCATCTAGAATGAGTGCTACAGCCACAAAGACTTCTTTGCTTGGAGTTAGTACTACATGTTATGAGAAATCTGTCCATGAGAGGCTGCGGGGCTCAATGCACTGGTTGTTACATGTATGGGTAACCCAAGTTGGCCCTGCAGTAATGGCTCACTTAGAAGTTCAGTGTGAGCCCAAAGGTCATCATGTGAATGGATGGCTGGAGAGCTCTTTAGGTGTGCCAGATTCTGACTAGAGCCACCAGGCAATTTCAGTCGGCCGCTCGATTTTGTGAAGGCAGGTGTGCATTGCATAGCTGATGGAATGTAATCTTAAATGTGAGCAGCAGATGCTGTGTCGATTTTGTCCATATTTTGTGGCATGTGTGTCAGTCTGAAAGTAAAAAAGAAGATTCTCAGTTGTCTGGCACACTTAGTTGCAGACTTATGTTTGGTTTTGTCTGTGACTGCATGTTGCAGAGGAAAATAATGGAAGGTTTATTTTGTGAGTATTACATGAGTCTGGTCGTCGTGATTTCTGTTGTCGAGCGACAGCTTTGTGGAGTCACACACACTTTTATGACATGATGTCTATATTGACACCCTGATGATTAGTTGCTTTTCTGCCCGCAAAACATGGACAAATTCCTGATGTGTATGTACTGAGGCACCTGAAGTGTATGGGTGTGTGCACCGAGGATCCTGAAGTGTGGGTGAGTGGAGGTGTTGTATGAATGCTGGTGTTGGCTGGCATCACAGATGTTTTTCACTGGTTTTGTTAACATTTTGGCCTGTCCTGATCCACATTGATCCTGTTCAGATGAACCCGTTTGCAAGGGACGTCGGATTCGGTTTGCCCCAGTCTCGGCTTCCACTCCTCGGCCGAGAGCACCAGCGGTCCGCTCCACTGGCCCATCCTGTTCCTTGGAATGATCCCGCAAGGTATCCAGACCGCCTCTAGGAGAATGGACGCCTGGTGCTCAGCGGTTAGGGTGTGGTGGTATACACCGTGTGTGCTCACTGGACGAGCGTGGTAATGAGAGACCTGATTATTATTGCCATGCAGAAGATACCTGGACGTAACCGAATAGAACCCGACGAAGGCTTCATTCGCCTCACCGATCAGAATATTTTCAAGCACTTTGAAAGTGTCAAAGTGGTGGCCCCTAAGTCGGCGAAAGGCGTGCATGGTCGGGTGGGCTCGGGCCGCCTGGTTGTTGGACGTTAAAACTCGCTCAGACTGTGGCCTCGTTCTTAGGAAACAAGCCGTGATATGTGTAATGCACCAGTTGCGATGATAAGTCAAATACGCTTGTTTTTTGTGTGCGTGTAATCTCAAGCACTATGGCCGGCAGGCACTTGATATTAAAGAAACCTTTGACATTGGCTGTGATTAGTAAAGTTTCCAATTGATTCGCCGAACCAAATTCGAATATTTACGAGGAGCGAACGACAAATCCATACTGCGTTGGCTGTGCAGGAGATGTGTGTAATTCGAGTCCGACTGTTCCAGAGGACCAACAGCCAACATGGACGCCTATCAGAACGGCGAGGGTGCAAAGGAGGCTGAGTTTCAGCGGATCGCACAAAACATATCAACGAACATCCAGAAAATATCACAGAATGGTGAGACACCTCGCGCTTTGCCGCTCGTCTTTGGGTGACTGTAGTCTGCTTGTAGCTGACCAGAACCGCCCCATACCAGAGGAGTATACAACCGGGAAAAAGTAGAGGATTAGCCGCCCGCTCAACCCCAGCAATCAGGATGAATGAACATGAAAAAGTTCGGGGAAAGCAGCGGATGGTGGGCACACACCTGAGCGCGTCGGGTTGTGGCGGCGGCCGCCTCGGTGCCAGGCGGCCGTGCGGGGCGGCCGTGTCGACGGGACCCATCCCGTCCCCGGCGCGGCTGACGCTGACGCCTGACGCCCCCCTCTCCGGCAGTGTCGTCCATGCAAGCGGATGGTGCGCCAGCTGGGCACGCCGCAGGACTCTGCCGAGCTGCGCAGCCAGCTGTGAGTACGGCCGACCGCCGCCGCCGGACGCTCCGGCCGGCACGGCGCTGTCGCGGCCGGGGCTGGCCGTGCGCTGACATGGGTGAAGCGGCCTTCTGTTCGGGCTCATTCGTTTCTTTTTTTGTGCGTTTCGTAACGGTCAAACAGGTGAAGCTGCTTCTGTTGGGTTTCGAGCTAATGCAGCATCATCCGGTGCGCTGCAAAGTGTGATCGAAGGGATCTCTGGCGAATCTCTGGCTGATCTTTTGGCGCCATGGTTACATGAGTTTTTTTCTTCAGACTGGTCGAGCATGTGCCGGCAACGTGTTTACCAAATCGTGATGTATTGTTCACCGAGCTTCTAGGCAACATTATGTCAAGCACGTGCTTACCTGGAGTGCGTGCCCTAAGTCATCGCTGCCAGTGTCGGCGACACCCACGGGTGTGTGCGTGTCTGACGTGCTGTGGTGGGAGTGATGCTCTATGTCTGCGCTGTCATCGATGCCCGTTGTCTCCAGGCACCAGATCCAGCACTACACCTAAACAGCTGGCCAACGACACGAACCGCAGCCTCAAGGACCTGGACATGCTGCCGGCGCCGCTGTCGCCGTCCACCCAGCGCCAGTGGAAGCTGCAGCGAGACCGGCTGACCAACGACTTTACCACTGCACTCACCAGCTTTCAGGTGAGATAAGGAACTCCGAAATCGAGGAAATCTGCCAAATCTGGCTTCGGTCTGATAATGCAGCAACTTCGTGCGCAATTACGCACGCGATTATGAGGGGCGTTTACACAGCCATGAGCGCAAAGTGACCACTGCATTCGAGGCGCCCCTGAACCCAAATATCATCATCGATGGAGCGCTAGATCCAGAGTGGGCTTTTTGCTCAGTGGATTTCATCTTTATGACAAGTTTGCATTGCCAGTGCTGAAAATGTGTTAACATGCGTCTCAGCCACCACTGCAGTGTATTTTCACATCTTGGCTTCGTTTATTTATACGTTCGTCGGCTGTCCGTAAACATGCAAAGCCCAGCTTGATGAACACTTTCTGGCCCACGCCTTCTTGCCTGCTGCGATTCATTGTTCTTAGGTGTCTGGGCTATCCCCACACGCTCGTTTTCTGGCCGGGTGACTGCCGTCTAGCCCGGGTGTACTTGGCTGCTTCATCGTCGTGTCGCCGTGGAGCCATGCCTGGCGCGTCCCAGTGTACCGCGCCGCCGACCGCCCGTGCCCGGCGCGTCCGCAGAAGGTGCAGCGGACGGCGGCGGAGCAGGAGCGCGAGGAGGTGAAGCGGGCGCGCGCCGAGAGCGGCAGCGGCTTCTTCGTGGAGTCGGAGGGCCGCCAGGACCCGCTGCTGCAGCTGGGACCGGGCCAGAGTCAGACGCAGGCCGTGTTCGAAGAGGAGGAGCGGCTGAGTGAGCTGCGGGAGCGCGAGACGGCCGTCCGCCAACTGGAGGTGAGCCGCGCTGCCCGGCGGCTGTGACGCGTCACCGCGCCATACGCGGGCACAGAGCTGCCTGACGGACCGGGTGTATGCCGGGGGCTGGTGTGGTTAGAGGGCCATGGCTGCGTGCTGGAGGAATTCGAGACCAGATGAGGGTTTCCCTACTCGTCTAGCAACATTCATGAGTTTGGGTGTTTCCTGCTCGCGGATACCCGCCTGCATCGTGTTTACTTGGACGGTACCTGAAGGTCGTGTGGGGCTCGATCCCAGATGTGTGCGGTAGTCTCAAGTGAACCTTTCCCTGTGTTTAAGAAATACTTTGGTTTTCAGTTGCTTGTCCTTTATTGGTTCATCGCATTCACGCAGGCTCATGCCGGGTCCCGCGACCGTTACTGCCGGAGTTGATTTCTGCCCTGTTGCCACTGCATTGACTTCATGTCCGCCCCTTGTCCGCAGTCGGACATTATGGACGTGAACCAGATCTTCAAGGACCTGGCCACCATGGTACACGAACAGGGCGAGGTGATCGATTCAATCGAGGCCAATGTCGAGAGCTCGCACGCTAACGTCGGCCAGGGCGTGCAGCAGCTGGCAAAGGCGTCCGAGTACCAGGTGAGCCGCCTCTTCCCCGGGCCCACGCCGGTGGTCCGAGCGCCGGCCGCCGGCCCTTCTGAAATAAAGTAACACGTGCTTCAAGTGATCAGCCAATGCTGTACAGTGCTTGCTTGAATGGGATCCGTTGCTCGTGGAAACCCTGTCGTAGCGTGCAAGGTTGTGGGAGCAAATTTAATCAGTGACAAAACTGGCGAAACGGTACTGCTACTACCCGTAATTTTGCATTCATCATCGCGCAGTTTATTACACTTTGCTTGTTAATCGCTGAAATTTTGCGCGCTTTCTTTCCCGTACATATGCGAGAAGTGCCCCCGTTCCTCACTGCTAGTGCCAGAACATGCCCTTTCTCGCTCGCACCGTGACCAACACTGGTGTTGGGACATGGGTTTATGTTGTGGGTCGTTATGAAAATCGTGTGGGCTGATTATATCTGTTCTGTGCAACCACCTGTGCTATGCGTCGGGCCGAAAATGAGGGCAAACACGAAGATGCGTACGCTCTTAAATTGGGTGTTTAGGTGCATGGCTTGGCTTTGGGCAGTCTGCCTTGTTCGCTAATAAAGAGTACTGAAGGCGATTTCTTTCTGCAGTCAGATGTGCTAGAACGTTGTCGATAGAAAACTCGCTGTGATTGGCTGATTCTATGTCATATCGTGCCGCCATAATTACCTTCATCCCCAATCCTTCGAATGATCCTTAAATGCTTTGTCCAGTTGATATACTCGGTTAATCTTTTTTCAAGCTATCCGTGCTACGTTGGGACCTGTGTCACTTCTCCGTCTGTTTGTGTTTCCTCTGGATCAGTCCGCTTGCGTTGTTGATTTCAATAGCGTTGTGACGACGCTATGGGCCAGGGACGGCGGGGAAGCCGGCTGGTTTGTACGCAGGCCGGGTTCGAGGAGCGTGAATATCCGCGCAACGGCTGCTGAGATATACTGTCCTCACCCAAACATTATCGTTACCGACTTGTGTCCGGTAATGAGACCAGAAATAGCATACTTACGACGTGATGACATGTGTTAATTTACTTTATTTCCGCTTTCATGGAATCGTCTTCGCCCTGACTTTGGTTTCGTGGTTTTCTCCGACCGCCGTGGATGTCGGCTGGCCCCGCCGGCCGCCGTGCCCAGTGGCGCAGCCCAGCTCCGCAGTCTCCCCTCTGCCGTATCGTCAGTGTCGTTCGCTCTTGTAGACCCCCGAGCTTTTCGCCTGCTGCCAGGTCTGCGATTCTCGTCTAACATGGATGTTTTTCTTTTCCCGCCGGCGGCTAGAACAAAGCTCGTAGGAAGAAGCTTTGCCTGTTTGTATTCTTGGTGATCGTTCTCATCATTATTATCTGCGTGGTTGCCTACGAGTCGTCGTAAACCGGGTGAGTACTGAACTACGAGTGCCTGCCTTACCGGAGTTGTGCCTTTAGTTAGCCAAGACGTGAACGTTTTTCTAAGCGTATGCTTTCGCACTGTGAGACGCCCGCAGTGACGTCAGCACTTTTAGCCTGCATGTTTACAAAGCAATAAGCCGGTCAGTAGGCTGCTCGTTGGTTGTCTAGATTGTTTTCTATGTGTTGATTCCTGGTTAAACGAAGTGATATGCAAAATGGCCATGCGTAAGGCCTTCCGCTGCTCAGTTTTCTCACATGATCAGTTAGAGTTGCATTGAAAGCCGTCTCAAAAATGGAGTGGACCGGCATCGGTGTACTGTTGTCGCCTTGGCTGTTTCGTTACATTTGGTTACTTTTAGATGTACTTTGAGCGCGAGCTAACCACGGGGTCTTATGGACACGGCATGAATTAAAGGCTGTCATTTTGCACATCCACAAAACATTTATCTGGTCTCACAATTAGAGATTTGCCTCGCGCACCGCATCCCTAGCCTTTTTCTCATCTCTTTTGTTTTCTTTTTTGTATTTGTTTTAGTTGTCCACTGGGACAACATAACGCCAACGATGGAGACGTAGAACCCCGTCACAGACTTCACAAATCTGGTCCTCGACGTTCAGCGTGGCGTTGGCGTGTCTCGCGGAGTAGACACGGAATGATAATAATAGCCTGCCGCAAACCCACGATGCTGTCATCCACACCAGCTCCGTGGGGTGACAACGAACATCCCTCCGTGTGCTGTGTTACCAAGCAGTGGTGGCTCCCTAAACCGAACTATTGATCATCAACCCCTCAATGGTAGCTGATGCGAAGCCGAGGGGCCACCGGTCGATTCGTTCGTTCTAACCTGCCCGACCCATCGGGCGGCCCGTTGTCCTCGGCAGCGCCACAGGGCACGTTCGTTCTGCCCTGCCCGACCCCTCGGGCGGCCTGTTGTCCTCGGCCGCGCCACAGGGGCACGCCGTGTGCTCCATCGGCAGCGAGGTGCGTCGCTGTGGCCGACCCGGGCGCGGCGCTCTCAGCACGTGCCGCGGCTCGCCCCGCCTCCGCCCCGCCCCGCCCCTGACACGCCGGTGCGTCGTGTCCGCAGAGCATGTCGCGCAAGCAGACGGTCACCCTGCTGGCCGTGTTCCTGTTCACGGCGCTGGTGATCGCGCTGGTGCTGAAGGCGCGCATGCGCCACTGAGCGGCCGGCGCGGCGCGGCCGCCGCCCGATCGGCGCTGACGCCGGCACGGGGCCGGCCTGGTCTGGGCCGCCGGACTGCGCGCTCACCGGCTCCTGTGCGCCGGCCGGGCTGGTCTTGGTGTAACCGCCCACACGACGGAGGCACTGTGGCGTGCGCCGGTTGGCGTGTCAGCATAACCACGCGCGGTTATTTCACGGTAGCTTAGTCGCTTCCGAGCATGGAAGCCAGCGGCGGGTGGTGTATGTAAAGCATGGGCTCATCATGCACTGGGTAGACATCGCAGTGGACTGTAGCGCCAGCTTAGGCTCCTGCGTTATCTGATTACCGCCGTAGCGTGTGCAGACCTTTATAACCACTCTGCCCCAATCCAGTGACTGTTGGATAAGCTATTCGGATCATTCCCAGCGAAGATATGCGCCAGGAGGAAGCACAGTGGCGGGCTAGTGCAGCTTGCACGTGCTGATTCGCGCCATGTTGCATCAGCTGTAAAATGCGAGTGCAAGCTATGGTAAACTTTGCTGTAATCAGGCGATATGCAGGAAATGTGAATCTTACGATATCTGCCGGCTTCATTTGCCAGGAGAACTTGCGTTCGCTGTGATAAACACCGGATATTTGTGCGCCAGCCTCAGCAGCTGAGTGGGGGAACTGGCAAAACGAGCGCAGTTGGTGGGCCTGTGGATCCTGAGGCAAAGGTCCGTCTTTTCCCCTATCTGTGTTGGATTCCCTGGCTTCGTTATGGCATTGACATCGTAAGGGGCGATTTGGGGATTCTGTGGGCTGGTTTGGGGTCAGTAACCACCGAATTGGTCACGGTTGTCATTGCGCGAAGCTTGTGTGTAATTTGGCAACAAAGACCGATGCAAGAGATTGAGAAGTTGTTGAGGGTCCACTGCAAGTTGTCTTTTAGTTAGTCATGTACGTCCATATAGCTATATTTATTCAACGCCGTGCTTTAATTATCTGCATCGTATGGTGTAAGCCTGTGCATTCGTCATGTGAAAATAATCGGACAGGGGTGTGGTGTTTCCCGTGCTGCCGTACAGCAGCGTCTGGACTGCTCGCCAGCCCTACGGTTTCTCTAATAAACGAAAATTTAAACGTGCGTCTCGTTTGTTATAGCGTGAATTGCTAAATATTCACGGCAAGTTGGAAGTGGATGTTCTCTGTGGGGTTGGGATGTTCCTGTCTTTGCAGAAGCTGCCCGGCAAACCGCAGTAATTTGAAAACTACGACAGCGACAGCAACGAGACGGCATATCGAGTAGAGAAGCTCATTTTGGTGCAATGTCCGTCAAACACTTCCGCCCTTCTTGTCGAGGTGCCGGTAGTGTAGTGGTTAACGCGCCTGCGTTAACCAGTACGCGTCTGGGAAACCAGAGGTACGGGGTTTGATTCCCCGCGGTGCCCGCCCTTCCCGCCAGGGTGAGAGGCAGGCGACGCCATACAGCATCAGCAGCGGGGCGCGTCGTAAAGCCCCAATGACACACACACACACGCGCGCGCCCTTCTTGCCGTTCATGTGCGCCACGTCCATTCAGGACGTAGGGTAGCGCGCTCAATCTTTCAGTTTATTCACTGGCCTCGTTTCGCGGATGAAAGTGCGTTTATTTTCGTGACATCTTACGGACTTCTCCGTTCCAAGAAAGACCGTACCGCCTTGCCCTGGTAGTAGGATTCGTATGGGCCACATCTGCAACCCTCTATAGCACAGGCTTTGTGTACAACAGCGTCATAGACCAGCTGCACTCCCTCCGAGCTGAGTGATGTTTCAGGCACGCGGTCATCTGTAGCGTCGCGTGCGTGTCACAGTTCGGTTCAAAACCCGGGCACTGCGACCTAGCGGGCAGTACTCGGGTCCGGAGTGGAGCGAGGCGGCCGGTCAGTGGGTGGTATCGCCTGCGTGCCTCGAGTCGTCTGCAGCCCCTCGGGCCCCGCTCGTGCCCGGACCGGTGCTGCTCGCCGCCCCGACCGAGCCGCCCGCCACCGGCTCCCGTTGACCACCGTGTATTCGTGTAAAACGAAACAGACTGACTGGCCTGAACCCGACGCCAGCTTTGGCTCTCGCTCTGGCTCGCGCCGGCGCGCGCCCAGGCACGGCGCGTTGCCTCTGCAACCGCTTAAAAGCACATGACAAGAACCGTGACGATATACATGGCACGCCCTCTCGCGCGCGCCGCACAACACCAGCAGCCGGACTGTAGCACAGAAGTCGGGCGGCCGGCCGCACGTCCGAGAATGGGGCCGCCGCCTGAGCGCGGCGGCGACGGACAGCCTCCGACCATGCCTTCCAGCCTAATGCAGCGGTGACGACTAGAGCTGGCATCACAAGCGACAACGCGTGGTTGCTGCCAGGTGGGACGCGGCTCTAACATCGGCAATGCGCTACGGTTCCTACGCGGACATAACTTCGACATACATTATCTTCTGGCCCTTCGCGACTGTTCATCACTGAGTGCACATCACATGCTTATACATGACGATCAGCGCACAGAAAACATACTGAAACACCATGAACGTACCATATAAAACGGCGACACGAAGCGCGTCGCAGTTGCCGGCATTTGCCGCGAATGCGAAAGTCTTCAGAGTGCGGTAGTCTTTATGCGGATGCTTAACATCATACACTGCGTGAGGATATTACAAGAAATATTTAGAATCATTTCATCAATCGAATCTTCCCAGGAATTTTGACCCGCTCAACCCGCCGTGTCTCTCAGCTACAGGCATAAGGTGGATTATCGTACAAGTAGAGTGAAGAACGACAACCTTATGCAAAACGATATGATGCCTTCGCAAAGCTCATGTTAACTGAGAGCGGTTTGAGACTACTCGGCAGTTCGAAACGGTCGACAATGCCCTGCACGAAGCCATGGACTGAGTGCTGGGAATTGTTTCCCGTCGAAGCCTGGCAAGCAATCTTTCGAACATGGTTAAGATCCGAAAGCTGTCGACTCACGACAGCATTCAGCGAAAATCGCAAGCGCTTCAGTTTGACTGTGAGATGTCATATATGCGCGAACATTAAAACGCTCGACGTTCACTGCGAGTCGAGGCGCCGTATTTGTGTCTGCCTCCGCTCATGCGCGGTCGTCTGACTCCGAATCACACCGCTTGGGTTCGTTCGACACCTGCTTCGAGCCGCGCAGGACGATTTTGAGCCGGCGCTTCTGTCGGCTGGGCGTTAGTGGACAACACTGGGGAAAATGGTGCGGCAGCGCGACCGAAGACAGCAAACGTGTGGTAAATGTTAAAAGTACGGCAATATCAACGAATGTCGGTGTGGCCACTGGCAGGCCGCCCATATGCTGTTGTCCACTCATGGGTCTGGGTTAAAGCAAGACGCCGAGCTGTTCTTACACAAACACCGCACTAAGCACGTGGATGTGATGGCTGGCCATTACTGACGAAATATTCAGAATGTATGAATGTCGAATCACAAAAATATACATATATCAATGCTCACGAGTAATGTGTTGCATTCGTTACCAATACCAGCCGGCACGACAAAACAGAGACTACATCATTCTCTAGGGTATGCATACAGCTGCATGGTCGTCCTGCAGACAGCCATGAAAACATAATCAAGCCTCGGTGTCATGCACTCAGCTCACGCAGTGTCTTGTTGTCAATGATGCTATGGTAATTAATTAGCGTTGTAGTATTCCCTAGCTATTTACGCCAAGTCTCACTGCCTCATTTAACTTCACATGATTTGACAACGGAAGGGCGCTTAACAGGGGTTGAACATTACTGTATTTTCAAAAACGGACCTACACACAGCGAGGCGAGGCATCGATGTTAAGGTACCGATGGTCGGCACGAGATCAATACGGGCGGCGCTGGGACGTTGCCGTGCGACACTGTTGCGGCATTGTCGATACCAGGAAACGTTGTCCAGTGTTGAGTACCTTGAACGCTGGTTCGAATGTCAGCACCAGTTGAGGGTCTCGCTTTATACCGGTGCCCGTGCGTCTCGGTCTCGGCTATTGCTGCAGCCAACGGTTCAGAAAGCCGAGCACCTTTTGTCTCGTCAAAGTGCGCGATGAAATCGGGCGTTTGCTCATGTAACGTGCGTGTTTATCACATCGAACGTGTTTAAACAAACGTCGAACACCATGAGGAAAAAAGCTTTGGATGTTCGTGTAACAAAATCACCTAGTTGCACATGCACGTTTTAAAGGCTGTTAGTTAAGTTATGGTGCTTGCTATTGGTGCTGCTGACCTCGAAACTAAACACTAACGTGAAGCTCCTGCAAACATAGTGTTAAAGTGAACTTGAGTACAAGCTTTCTTCAAGATAAAGTATTGGTCGGCACTGCTTACATCATGAACCGACGCCCTGAAGTGACAATTTGCTACTACTTCCCTGGCATTCAGCATGATGAAACTCCTGTCATGGCGCGAGTCCTTAGCAACTCGCAGGTGCAAAAGAAATCGACCGCTTCTTAAGATAAGACCTGAGGAACAAGTCAAAATGTCATCGAATTTAGTACTAGGGGACTTCCAACGCCATTTGATCTGGTCCCACTCTCACGGATATCTACACATACAGCGGATCCCCGCGTCCAGGAGAGCTTACACGTATAATGTGACACACGATAGAACCACTGGTCGTTTTCCCGTGACGTAGTTGGTTAAAGGCCACCTCCAGCAACATTGGCTTTGATACGTCCAGCCATCAAGAAGCCTGTGTTCGTTTAACGCTGGTCCAAACCTGTACAGCCTCCGAAATTGTGGCTGAATCTGTCTTTGGCATCTGCTGTACTCACGCTGTGCCGCAGTGTATAACACACAGCCCTCACATATCAAATAAGTAATCCGAGGAACACCGCCAGCCAGGATCTGCTGTGCTGCGCGGGATATGGACATCGCGGATAGCGCGAAATTCGAGCAAGGCGCTTGGAAAGGTGCTATCTGGTGCCCTCTCCCAAAGCGCATGCGATGGCGCAGTTCGCAGCCGGTCGAGCTGGCGGGCTGCACGGCGAAAGCCTGGCCGCCGACCGCTGGCGTCGAGCGGTGAGCCCGCCGGCGTCGACGCCGACAGACAGCAGGCGCGCGCGGCTCCTGCAGCGTCGGCGCCGACAGACAGCAGGCGCGCGCGGCTCCTGCAGCGGCGGCGCCGACAGACAGCAGGCGCGCGCGGCTCCTGCAGCGGCGGCGCCCCGCCTTCGCCGTCGCCGCGCCGGGTGACGCCGCTCACCACACCTCGCACTTGTGCACGGGGTTCATGGCGGAGCCGGCCGCACACCGGTACTCGCGCGCAAAGTCCGGCGAGTTGGAGAGCGGCCCGATCACCCGGTAGCGCGCCGGGGAGTGGTTGTCGTTCAGCGTCGTCATGCGCTGCGCCTCGGGCGTGGCCGACGTACACCACACCTGCGGCAGCGGGTGGCGTCACAAGGGTCAGGGCAGTGGGCGGCGTCACAGAGGATCAGGACAGCGGGCTGCGTCACAGGGGTCAGGGCAGCGGGCGGCGTCACAGAGGGTCGGGACAGCGGGCTGCGTCACAGGGGCCAGGACAGCGGGCAGCGTCACAGGGGGCCAGGACAGCAGGCGGCGGCGCAGGGGGTCAGAACAGCGTGCGGCATCACAGGGGGCCCGGACAGTAGGCGGCGTCACAGGGGGTCAGGACAGCGGGCGGCATCACAGAGTCAGGACAGCGGGCGGCGTCACAGAGAGTCAGGACAGCGGGCAGCGTCACAGGCAGCCAGGGCATCGGGCGGCGTCACAGGGGACCACGGCAGCAGGTGGCGTCAAAGGGGATCAAGACAGCAGGCGGCGTCACAGGTGGCCGGGGCAGCTAGCACCGCGAGATCGTGTGAATCGAAAGCCCGTCTCATGGGTTCTGCTGTACAAACAGCCTCTTTCATTAAAAGAATGGCGCCAGCACGTTTGGTAGACTAAACTTAAGGGGTTCTTCATAGATGGCGTCTCGTGTGGAGGGAAATGGGGAGGGTTTTTGATGGAGCGTAGCCGGAGCATAACAAACGGGAGAGGGTTTTGACAGCGCAAAGTTGCGTTCAGGTGTGGTCGAAAGTCATCCTGAAATATGATTTTTGTTATATTTAAGTAGCATATCCCTGGAAGCGGACTCTCACCCAAGGGGGCAGGGGCGAGCGAAAGTGGCCAAAAACGAGAAACGTGATTTATGGACGAGTCCTTAGTTTGCGCACTTCGAATGCTCCTGGAAGAAGTGATGCAGGCGTCGATCACTATAGTCGACATCGATCATTCATTCGGTTGAGTGGTTGTGCCAAATACGACTTCGTGCGGGCCGTCTGTGCTGCTTTCGGAAGACCGCCAGGAAGGGAGTATGTTAAACGTTTGAGCCCAAGTTGGAATATTAGGGCGTGGGGGAGGGGGGGGGGGGGAGAAATTGCCAATTTGAAAGGTTCATGGCAGTCTAGTATTATCCTGGGCCTTCTCTGCAATGATTTATCATTGGTGGGGACATGTTATTACAAGCTAAAAAAAGTCATTTGAGAAGGGGGCGGCGTGGCCTAGTCAAAGGGACGCAAATCCCCACCCATGAACGTAATCGATCATCACCCTCAAGTACAAGAGCGCCGACCTGTGAGAAGGCGAGGAAGAAGAGCTGCGAGTGGGTGTGGTTGACGCCGGGGAGAGGCAGCTCCTCGCCGTGGTGTTTCCTGTACAGCCGGTACGCGTCAAACGAGGCCTTAAGGCCGCCGTTGTCGGCGATGTTCTCACCTGCCGGAGGCGTCGGCGTGAGCACGTGACTATCACAGGCTCACTGCTAGGATGGCTGAGATAGGGAATTTGCCAAACGGGATGACGGGAATTTGCCAAACGTGTCGAACCCTTTGAGTAAGCGAGAAAATGATTTAGTGTTTGCAAGCATAGCCTACACGCAACGGTGCCTATATCGCTATCACTCTTTAGAAAGCGCGACGTTGTTTATGGCAACCTATGGGCTCACCCATACAACCAACGAAAATCGGCGTCACCGGAACATTCCAAAAAAGATATTCCTCCATTAACCTCTACGTTATCTTGCATCGAGAAAAATGCATTGCACGCATTTGGACAGGGCATCGACTTCTGCCGTCAGTCCATCTTACCCAGGGTCTGCCGGCCGTTGACCGTCAGATTGCCGACTTTGAACTTGGAATACTGATCCACCATACACTGGGTACGGTCCTTGAAGCGCTGGATGGTGGCGTTTTTCCACCACTGGTTCATGTTGCCGTTCTTATCGTACTCGCGGCCTGCAGTCACAGGGCACGGCAACGTGCGGCGTCGTTGTCGTTGCGTGGCAGACAACGATTAGGTGCTGCGATATTGTATGAACCGACAGGGAATGCCCCAGATCGCCAACAGAGACATCCATACGTACGCATCCACACGCGCCTGGCCTGGGGTAGGCCGTGACCAGGGATCAGGCAGCCCCTAAAACTATGTATATATATATATATATATATATATATATATATATATAAAGTTACAGAAAGCTGGGTCATGGCTAAAGCAGTCATACGTTGACGCTAGTCTGGGAATTCCGGGATGCGGGATTCAAAATAAACACGCGTGCGTCACAGCCGAGTGTATACCTGATGTCAAGGCCGTGTCGACCGGAGGGTGTGCACCTGACGTTAAGACCATACCGGCATCAAAAACGATGAAACAAGCTCATTATAATTATTAGTATACTTATGAGTGGAAAAGACTGAAAAATGGCGCACACAAACGCCAGCTACGAACGGCTCGACAGTTGTGTTTTTTCGCCTTGATCGCCGAAAGGCCATTGAAATGGAAAAAAATTGAATGGCATTGTTACCGCATCATGGATGCCTGAGTGCCGTTGAACTAGTTTGCAACAAATAGTTTACACATCTCCGCGGACGTTTTGCTCAGAAACTAGAGTGGCTTAGGTCTTAAGAAGGCGGAGCGTTGAACTGCACCGAATGATCTTCAAGATGGCTATTTCAGCTAAAAAAGCATACGAATGTGAAACACGCCCTTTAAGACCATGCCCCTTCATTTTGTTGTGGTTACTTTGCAATGCCGGTTGAGAATAAAGTCAACATCGGCGCGTATCCCCGCCATGTGAAACGAAATCGCCAAATCTGCCATCGGTGAGTTCCGAACCCGCGAGCTTACGGCCGCGACACAAACGCCTCACCGCCACGGGGGAAGCATAGACGCTCGCCGCTCACCCTGGTCGTCGAAAGCGTGGGTCAACTCGTGGCCCATGACCACGCCCATGGCGCCGAAGTTGAGAGAGCGTGGGTACTGTGGGTCGTAGAAGGGCGCCTGCAGAATGCCGGCCGGAAATACGATCATGTTGTGTGATGCTGAGTAGTAAGCGTTGACCGACGGCGGGGTCATGTCCCACCTGGCGAACAGGTCAGGTCAGGCCACACGATCGCCGGTTTTAGGGGGAGCAGCAGGGGTGTGCTAGTTCGGGTGTGCATATTCTAGATGCTTAGTTATGTTGCGCGCTCCAGGTACGATTATGATATGCGTGGGAACGACAATAGCAATAGCAGGTAATGGACGACGTTAACGGAGTAGTTCGATGCTATTTTTCCAAGTTTCATATATTAATAGGCTGAAAAGATTAAAAATAACACGTTTGTGATTGTTCTGTGATTCATTTTTCGTTCAATACTATATGGGATGGTAACTTTCTAGTGTTTACATTAAAAACATGTAAAATCGAGACAAATCAATAAAGTGGCAAAGTAGAGATGCCCCTATGTTCTGCCACATTTGCACATCATTACGAAATATACTCTTTCTTGTTTCACTAATTTGACCCTTTTCAGCATTTGCAAAAGTTCTGAACGCACAGCACGTTATTTATCGTAGTCTAAATGTTGAGAATGAGCGTAAATTCTGATCACGTCCATGTAAAGTTACATCCATGTAAATTCTGATTACATCCACGTACGTCCATAAAAAGGCAGTGATCAAACTTTAATCGACCGGAAGTAATTTTCACACGTGAACACAATCCAGTCGAGCCAATAATCTTCATTTGAATCTTACTTACCTCGTTTTATTCACAGCTTTTCCGTACTTCTCGAGATTCTTGATCAGAGAATGTTTGGCGTGGCGTAAATTGTTTTCAAAGTACTCATTCTCTTTAATTTCAAGGCCTCCATACTTTTCATCAAGGTATTCTGCATCCAATATGTTGGGAGGGAACCCTGTAAATACGTGTTTCCCCATCAGCCCTGCTGCGCTCCAGAACGCTGGAAAATGACCCCTGGTATTACAAGCACAAGCACACATCACAGGCCAGAATTTCGTTAGAAGAGGCTTTACAACAACAGCCTTCGAGGTACTTGGACAAAGCTACGCTCGGATCTAAAGGGCTGTTTGCACACGAGATGTATTTGTGTGGCTGCAAAAACGCCTCTGGTCGGTCTGACGCGCGTCCGTCTACAGCTTGGAGTGGCCTCACCGATCATTCTGGTGATGGCCTCGGCCTTCTCTTCCGCCAGCTTTCGCGTTTCGTCGTCCATCCAAGAGAGCTGTGCCGTGTTGGAGATGAACGACTTGCGTATGTCGGCTACCATCTCCTCGGCCTGTCAGTCAGGGAGCCCACGCCGTCAGATCGGACGGCATACTTTCCCTGTTTCGGTCATTTCCATGCGCTTGCATATCGGCTATGTCGTATTACCAACAACTACAGTCCATAAAATGGAAATTGTGGGCGATAGGCTCATGTGCACCGCTATCGGCAGCAACATCTCTTCTTGATTCATTATATATGTTGATGCTGTCAGTGTATTTTACAACCCATCCAGGGCCTAAGACTTCATGGCATTGCCTGTCTCTCACACTGGCAGGAAGGGCGGATACCATGAGAAATCGAACAAAACGCCTCCGGGTCCACAAACGCAAACTTAACCACTGCGCTGCTAACGCCCCAATCCACTTTCAATAACACAACTCAGTTTCGAGGATTGGCCTCTAATATTTAAAGCTTTGTCACATTTCAGTGCTTGTTTTGTCCGTGTCTTACTTACCAGTTCTTTCGAGGCTGTCTTAAAGTTTTTTCGCACGAACATTGCGCCGAGTGCGAAGCCGAGAGCACCATTTGTGTCGTCCACGCAGTAATGCCACGTCTCCTCGTCCTCGTCTGTGCCCACCAACGCCTTCTTCAGCATCTTGTAGGCGTCACGGAAGTCCTTGCTCAAGCAGCGAACCAGGCCTCCGCCAAGTTTCGTCATCATAAAGTTGTTCAAAATTCTGGTCGAAAGTGAGCGGATGCGTATGGTAAATCAAATGCAAGCGGTATCGGCTGTATACGCGCGAGGGCTATTTCAAGTAAACATTAATGTGGCCTCGTGTACCTCCATGTAAGCTGGGGAGGAATTAAATGCGCATACAATCAAGAAAAAAGCCGACGCGCTAAAAAACACATTTACCCGTGCCACAACCACCCAAAACTCCTTTAGACGTGTAACAATCAATGTGCTGGGAACAAAAGTATAAAATTTGGGCCATAAACATCGTGATCTACGGAAGAACAAGTTCAAAATTTACAAGGTTCAAAGTTAAAAATGTTATTCAGCAGTTGACGTAAAGAGGACAATCTATTCACAGCGAAACGCGCACCTATCGACGCGCTGTAGTCATGTTATAACAGAAGAACCAGTAAACCAGGCAAGAAAGAGTGGAGGTTATATTTCGCGGCCCGTTGATCCCGGGGAAGGCCAAATGTATCAGTTTGAGCAGATTACACATAAAAACGAGGTTATCTAGTCAGGCTGCAACACTGAGCTAATCATTCTGCGCAGCACAACCAATTTACTGGAGGCAGACCAGCGTGGAACATTTGGGGCGTGAGCGTCGTGTCCCACGGGTGCACACATTTTTGTTTTATGACATCGTATATGTATCGCTGGCGTTGCGTCCCATTTGCATGTGTTGCGTGTTCCGTGTTTATCTATGTGACATGTACTAACGCGGCGTGAGAACAGCCACTCGCTGGATTTCGCCAAGGTCCGCAGTAATAATAATAACAAATTGTAAAGCGGTCCGGTTTTGGCTACTGACACGAAACACATCTCTACTTCCGTGGAAGAAATTGGATCACAACGAAAAGCACACCAACCGATGCGCTGAACTTGATTTGCCTGAGGCACTCGAGCATGGAACGTGTGGAGCTTATATTTCGTGACCAGGGGAACAAGGACCAGGGTTAAGTTCAAAGTGCTCCCTTTTTGGCTGCTAAGACATGGCTAATACGATCAAACCACCTTGTAAGAGGCTTATTACAATGCTAAGGCACGCTGTTCGACTTAGCGTAGTCTATTTACTAAAGGTAACGGGCGTGGAGCATGTCAGTTTTGAACCCCATGACCCGCGGGCGAACAACGTTTCAAGTTGTCCATTGTTTGCTGTTGATACACAGAAAAAAATCGCTAACCCGAATTGCAATAAAGATTCCACCAAAACACGCGCCGTAGCCGATATACCGGCGGCAAACACGCTTGGGATGCGTGGGCCATGAACAGCGTGACCCAAGGGTCGACAAAATTTGAAGCGTTCCAAAAGATGGTCAAAGTGATTTTCAAGCCCGTCAGCTGCCAAAGTGGACAATTTTTATATCGTTGATGCGTCTGTGGCGATGTTCGTAGCTCACACGTCCCATGCTTTCTTGCTTCGAGAAAATCGACTACACCAAATCCATAACGGTGATTACTTTGCAATCATGGTAAGGAAAGACGGCATTTCATCGCGTTGTCATTTTGTCATGGCCCTGCAATAATTTTAATCCTTCACTTTTACGTGGGTTCACCAGGCGTATTCGCCGCATTTTGTGCGATCTGTGTTGTTTCGCTTCCGACGATTTGTTCCGACTTCCGACGATCAAACTTCCCATTTCACTGAAAGGAACCAATCAGAATGGAATCCAGCCAAATCGCCACAAACATTGAGGGCATTGCTATGAATTTTCCTCCTCCCCATTGGACATCTTAGAATAATGTTTCTTTGTACGTACCAAGCTTGATACAAGTGCGACAAATACCGACAAGTGATTTGAGAGTTAAAGCCAAGTTTGCATTTGGCCCTTCATGGCGCAAATGCAAGACTGTCTCGTATCGCTCACCAAAGCACGCGTCAAGTATAGGAATCTGGAATAAATACGGCATATCAGGTCTAAGTTGGTGTAGTATCAGTGCAATACTCACACTTTTCCCCGAAGGGTGGCCAGATATTCGTTGAGTGTTTTGGACAGCCTTGAAAGATACTCTGGTGCGTAGACAACCACAGTTAGATCCGCCGGGAGGGTTATGTTCACCTTATCGAAGGCGTCTTGGAAAAACGCTCTCCAGTCCAACTGAAAAGTAAAAGAACTCGCTCAGAACCGGTCCAAGCCGACGTGCCCTTGCAAATAAAGCTCATGAAAACTTTAGAAACACCTACGAGCGCAAAACTGCTGTGAGCTTCTGGTAGTAATCTTGGCTAACCTGCAGAACCGCAGTTTTCCCACATCATATCTAAACGCGTATCCTTCTAGTTGCTTGATCCTGGATACCAAACTTGTGACTGGGTCTTACGCACTTCTCAAACCGGGATGTAGAACACACAGGTTTGCGAGGAAAATCAAAAGCAATTGCGAGACCAATATCAAGTTACATCGGCACTACACGTGAAGGGGAGCCTGCTGGCGCCTGGCGCTCTGTCACTCCCCCCCTCCCGAACCGCGTACAAACGGCGCGGTCTCCTGCAAGTCGGTGACTCCCATCCTGTGGTAGATGGCCTCTTCGTCCCGGCGCTCGTCCGACGGCGTCGAGATGTTGGCCAGCTGGATCTCCAGAGAGATGACGTCATTGGCCTGGCGCCGCACGTCCTCCTCCGAGCCGCCCAGGAGGACACCGACCTGAGGGAGAAGGGGGGGGGGGGGGGTCCGCTTGAATATCTTGCATCAGGAGGGGTAACTCTGAGGGAACTCTGCCCGGTTCTCCAGGCAGAGCCGGGTAAGTTGTTGTGCCTGTCCGCCAGCGACCGTGGGTTACCGAACAAGTGAACCCACTCTCCATGGGTCGGGTTATACAAGTCGCTACCGCGAACCCATTTTAACCGAAATAGGCGCGGAGCGTGGTCACGTGGACACGATCAGCCGGATTTTTCACATCAATACCAAACACCTAAATTGAAAACATTGACCCTCAGCTGTAAGTTTCATTGCAACACATTAGGGTCACATACAACAAATCCATGGTGTTTTATTGCGTGCTATTTCAAACACGACAGCACAGGCAGCGGCTGCCGCGGCGGTGCTGCAGCGTGGACTTCCCTTTCCAGCCCCCCCCCCCCCCCCCCCAGAGCGTTACCCGCGTCAGGTATGCGAGATACGCCGCCAGCACGGGATCGTCATCGGTGGTCTTGTTGATGTAGTAGTCCCGGGAGGGCAGCGCCAGCAGACCCTGGTCCACCTGCCGCGCGCCGCTAGTGTCAGCCTTGTGCGCGGTCACCGGCCGGCGTGGCGCGCTGTAATGATGGCGGCGATGCTACGGTCGGGCTCGTTAGCTCACGACCCTGGTCAGATCGGGCCTCCTCGCATTACCTGAGAGGATATCGGTGTTCAAAAGTGATGAACCCGTAGCGGTGGTTTTCAAACAAAAGTCTTGGCAAATGATGACCGACTGGAGGTTTTGTTCGAGCTCCGGTGGCACCAGGAATAGATGGCTTGGAAATCGTACCGGTGTAACGTAAGTTCTGCATTGTTCCTTTCACTGTCCCCTGTGGCTGTCATAGTGTCGGCTGGCAGGCGGATGTAGAAATCACCTTGTCACTGGGCACTATATTGCATATAGAAAGCCTATGGACCGCTTTATCATGACAATATACGAAGCCCTAGGAACATATTGAAATATGTACCATTTCTGTCATTGTCATACGCGGACAATGACAGAAATCACGACCGCCATGAGCAAACTGAGCTTTTCTGCTGCAAACTATCGTTGCTCCGCGTGCAAAGTTACGTGTTTCAAACATCAAATCCATGGAGGTGCAATTTCTACCGCTGTGCCATCAATCCCACACATGATAAATCAATTAGCACCTTGCATGACGCAGACTTCCCAATGTCACGACATGGTCGACCTGCAGTCGTTAATAATAATCTGCAAGACGGATCTCTGTTCTGAGGTCACGCCACCAAGGCTGTCGATTGGTTCGGCACCGCCGTCCGGGCCTGCCGCTACCCTCGCCTGTATGACGTAGCTGGAGGAGTTCTTGTCGTCCTCCACCACGGACCACGTGAAGAGCGGGCCGGCGTTGAACTCGTTGTGCAGCCGCTGCAGCGCGCGCTGGAAGTCCCAGGTGACGGCGCTGAAGTTGGAGTCGGTGATGTTCCAGCCGCCGCTCTGGTGGATCAGCTGCAGCAGGGGTGCGCCGCCGCGCGCCTCGCTCGTGCCGTTGGCGTCCACGCAGGAGAGGTAGTAGCGCTGCGCCTTCCTCTCGGCGTCGTTGGCCAGCCCGGCCGGCGGCGTCTCTGCGGCCGACGCGGGTCAGAGGCGCCTACAGGGAGATTGGATCGAGGGGAGGGGAGCCAGGGGTGTATGTGCGGTGGGGAGCAGCTCAGACGCGTACACCGCACCAGGATGGCCAGTGGGGATGAATTAGAGGTGGGGCGCCGTCAGGGTGCAGCGGGAGAAAACAATGAGGACGATCACAACTGGCACTGACGGTAGCGGGGAAATGGCGTGGCGTTCAGATTGTTTGTTTGGCTATCGCCTATTCACCCGGCGTGACGAACATTTGCATGAGGCGCAGAGCCATCCAGTCTGATTCACCAGCGCCTGGCCTGCATCACTGAGCCAGTGTTTCTGGCGCGCCGGGCAACGTAAACAAACAACACTGTCAAACAATTCGCAGGTTGCAGTAGACACGCTTTGATACGGCGGCGGCTCCGGCTGCTGGTCGCGCCAAGTGCTGTCGAGTAGTCCCTGGGCGAGCGTCCGAACAGCCTGCCATTGGTGCCGGAGCAGCTGGCAGGTTATCGACCGGCTAACCCAGCTCACAGCGGCTGCAACGGCGCCACTCACCGAGCACGTTTTTGATGACGAGCTGGTTTTGCTGCCAGAGCTTGCCGAAGGTGCCCCACATGCTTTGGCCGTGCGGGATCGGGTTGGACTTGACCCAGCCGCCGCAGGCGTACTGGTAGAAGTCCTCGCACGGGTCGGCGGTCAGGTCGAGCCCCTTCAGAATCGAGGCCGCCACGTCCACGCACGCCGGCGACACGCAGAAGTCCTCTGGAAGGCACAGAGTCTTGGTCAGTGCAGAGCATTCGCCCTGCGGCTTGCGATGGCTGGTCAGGCAGGCGCGACTGCAGCCATTACCAGCGGTCAGCCTCGTCTGTCGTCAAAGCCGGATGAATCACGGCTGCTTACGGCTGACAAACTGTCCATGGTTCTTTCACTAGCCGGCTGGTGTTTGACCATCATGAGGAGTTATATCGCGGCCAATTTCATCAAGGCTGATCACAATCACGTCACGTGTCATGCATATGAACGGTCAGACAGTTCGGGGGAAACGGACGGGGAGTTTGGGTACTAAGCTCACCACCTGAGTAGACTAAACAGCTAATTGAAACGATGTAATCTTACTAGTGGAGATCATAGAAAGCTTTCACTGATGGCACGTAAGCAGGAATACACGGTATATGCAAATAGCAGAATTCAAACACAGAGGCGACACCAGGCTAATTGAATGGAAATCCACCACCAGCATTTGTTTCGAAATCAGCTGTTGGGCGATATGATAAGCTGGCATCACTAACGCCACGTAAATTGGCGACGACAATGTACCTTTAAGTGTTTCGAACAAGAACAGCGTCTCACAACATGGATGGGAAGCCCATTTTTCAGGCTGCAGGCGCTTACGTCTCGTCTAGTGTCTAATAGTGTGCTTTATCTATCCTTTTGATGCTATTTTGAACACATCCAACCAAACGTAAGCGGTAGGATAACAATGTAGCATAACGAGAGCGTGTCATGCGTTCCGCTCTGGTAAATCATTCGTGTACACCGACACGAAGCCTTTCTTCAGCATACCTCAAGTAGCATTCAAGTTTGCCCCATTATTTAGGATTCCAACGTCGACCCCTGGCAAAAACTTCTTTGTCATTGCGCTCTCTAAGACGTATAAATCAGAATACCATTCGCTGCATAGCTTGTTAAACATTGCATAATCGGACACGCCAACGGGTGCCTTCATCCCCCATTCTGAGCACACCTGAAGTCGTCACTGTGGATTTAAAGCCCAAGCCCTTCATTTTGGAAACAAAAATGTTTTCTAGCCGCCTCTTGAATGCATAATTGTATCCGGGCAAGAAAAGCAGAGTGGTGTGAGCTTTGAGACGTTGATGATGAAGGCATCAATGAAATATGCCCTGAACTGCAGAGTCCCTCATGTACCACTCACACAAAGATGGCTTGGGCAATACGCATCGTATGAAACTCAATGCGGGTGCCAGAGTGGGTGCGGTCGCTCACGCCAGCGCTCAAGTGCCTGCCGCATAAGACATCGCGACTTACTAGCAATCCTGTTTTCCCTGCTAGTTGCTACTTTTTGTTTATCGCTCAGTAGCCTATGTACACTCTCGGCGCAAGGGAGTCATGACTGAATCCATTCAACCACAGCTTACGTCAGCGCTGCTGCATGGAATCGGCCACCGGAACCGGTTGCTCGCTCGACAGGTGCCGTGTCAGGTTCAGCCGTGTTTCGCTGCATCTAAAGTGGGTAGACTGTTCCGGAATGCATGCGTGTCAAACGGTACGCGGGCAAGTCACCGCGGCCGGCGCGAAACACGCGGCCACAGAAACACTTGGCGTTTGCAAGACTAAGTGCATCGTAACACAGTCCTTGTTCGGTGCGCGCGGTTGCATGGCCCCGTCGGGGATCGGGCAGCGCACTCGTCAAGTCGTAACGAGAGGGCCGAGTTCGGGTTTCACGCATTCCGCCTGTGTTTCGCTGGTCCATCGAGACGATCGTTGTCGACGAGTTTACAACAGTGCAATATTTCGGCCCGTGATCGTGGACACATACAGCATGATAACTCCAGAAAACACGTTTAAATAAGCAACAAACTAAGTTAGCTACTTTTATCTGACGTACAAAGAACGCTATGCCAAGAAAGACCAATGCATAATCCTTTACTTTAGTTCACAAACAAGCCCCTCCACTAATGTATCTGTTCATATGCCGCAGCCAACATGCTCGTGATAAATTCTCGCCAATATGAAATGGTTGATACAACAAAGCATGTTCATTTGTAGCCTTCCGAAGTTGACGTTTAAAAATGGCTTACAGCCAAGAAAAAGACTACTAAGTTGAGGCCGGACGTTCGTGGAGCAGTGGGGACACGACATGATTGGACGGCTTGGCCTGGCGGACGGGCGCTCTGCTCTCTGATGTTCTTGGGCTTCTTTTGTCGAAAGCTAATCAGAGACATGTTTCCTAATGTTTTACTGCCATACCAAATATAAATGTGTGCCAATGGATCGATATTTTTACCGACTTAAAATAGGGCTTGTTATGACCATACGTTTCCAGTGCAAACTGCGTTTCGCGGCACAAAAGCCACAAATCACAATCTAAAGGCAATAACGAGAACTGTACGACCATTTTGAGTTTGCATTTCACTATTGCGGACAACGAAATTTGGTGGACCAGACGCGGCCTGGGAGCCCACGATCACCGCCGCGTAACACATCCTGCTGTCATGATGGCCTCCTACAAAAAGGCAGGGGGCAGATACTGGGCCGATGACACACGTTTCAAACAAAGTGCGTAGTTTACCGCCCAGGAAAACTCTTAATGCACCCACTTCCGCAGCTTCAGCATCCAACACGTCCCAGCCCTGCGCCACTGTTTCTGGCCTTGAACGGCGTTGATACCGCGAGAAGAAACGTCCTAACAAAACGGGATGACTCGCCACGCCATCTGCCGTTCATGCTACGGGTTGAAGCAATCCCTCAGAGTGGTCAGTTTGCAACGAGCTCACACTCCCGTCCGTCCGCCTGTCCGTCGAAAATGCAGTTAGTCTGTGACCACGAAGGCGAGCGGCCGTCGACCAGGACCCAGCGTTCGATAATTCGCCAAATCCGATTGCTCCCTGCGGTCGGCCATTCGGACGTTCCGGAACCAAAAACCAGCTCTCATCTAATCTCATTAAGACGGCCTAGCTGTTTCACTGGGCGCATTGTGGCGCCAGCCGCAGCCCGCAGATGAACAGATGAACCCAGCGCCTGGGGTCTGCTGCTGGCCCAACGCTCGCCTGCCCCTGGTAGGTGGCGAGCCCCGTCAGTGGAGTATCACTGGCGAGACAGCAACAATAGGAGGGGTGGTCTCGGACACACGCTGCCACGTCGACAGACATCGTACCCGACAATCGCATCTCTATTTGTGACTTGTTACGTGCATGGTCAGTTGACGGCAGCGGTCTGAGGCCTAGAGACCTTTTCAGTCCTCGTTTGATCCAAGCCAGTTGCCCTGTACGATTTCGTGTGACTGTCCTCATGAATGACCTGTAAGCTGAATGCCTGAACCTGAGCCCATTACCGCAACGTCTACGAGGAGTCCGCCAACGCAAGGCTTCGGAGACAGCCCGGTTTTATCCTATCTGCCGGTTGTCGAGGCTGTGAGCAATAATGCACTCACACTGTTAATTTCGCGGCGCCTGCCGTTGCCTCGGAGCCCGCTCGGCGACAGCCTTCAGCGCCGTTGGCAGCTCGCTGCAGCCGGCCGCGCTGGCGCCCGCGCCGGTAATGTGTCCCATCCCGGCCGACATGGCGCGGCCGTGACCGGGCGTGACGTCACACCCCGCTGGCGTCCGGTCTGGTAATGCGACCGCCGCGCGCCGGGTGCCGGGAGCGTGTCCTCGTTATGCCGGCGCGCGGCTGCGGAGCCTCCACAGCCCAGTCTGCTGGCGGCGTTCGTCTGGGTCAGCGCCCGTCCCAGCGGGGACGTCAGCGGGACACGCGGTGGTGACGTCCCAGTGACTTCATGCGGCGTGGCCGCTGCATAGCGTCCCAATGACGTCATGTGGCATGGCCGCTGCATAGCGCCCCACTGACGTCATGCGGCGTAGCCGCTGCACAGCGCCCCACTGACATCATGCGGCGTGGCTGCTGTACAGCGGTCCACTGACGTCATGCGGCGTGGCCGCTGCATAGGATCCCACTGACGTCATGCGGCGTGACTGCTGCACAGCGCCCCACTGGCGTCATGCAGCGCGGCTGCTGTACAGCGTCCCACTGACGTCATGCGGCGTGGCCGCTGCGCAGCGTCCCACTGACGTCATGCGGCGTGGCTACTGTACAGCGTCCCACTGACGTCATGCGGCGTGGCTGCTGTACAGCGTCCCACTGACGTCGTGCGGCGTGGCTGCTGTACAGCGTCCCACTGACGTCGTGCGGTGTGGCCGCTGCGCAGCGGGCTCGGAGTCGATTGGCTCCCGGAGCCTCCTCAGAGGACAGCTCACTGGTGGCCCTCGTGAGTAAATCCAGGAAGAGGAAGTCATACTGACTCACCTACGTGCCAGCCATCGTCCAGCACATCTCCTTTCGACTGAACAGCACAGAAGACGCCCCCACTCGTGAGGTGTGGCGAGATGCTCACTGTCAGGCACGCACTAGTTGACGGTGTTCTTCTCGGTACCGAGAGGCAGTAGGACTCTCATTGGTCCGTATGCTCAATTCAATAACACCATGAAGTCACCGGTATGATGAGGTATGATAAGAGTACAGAATGGGCCCAGCGGCCGAAGCATTCTGCTGTATAACAGGTGATTGATCTGTTATATAACAGATGGTGATTAATCTTCCTCACCATAGGTCACAGGGCACGGCGGCTTCATAACAAAACACGGCACTCCGATGGCTAGCCCACAGTGGCTCCTGTCTAGATGTGACTCCTCGAAACATTTCCGAAACAATCTCCCGCATGCATGGCACCAAAAAAAGAACCTGGTCTAGATTTCGATTATAGATCAATGTGATGTAATGTGGTGCGAAGAACTGATGTTTCGACTGTCTTATTTCCCATCCATCGTCCTTGAACTTGTGCGATGTGGAAATAATGACCTTGGTCTCTTCCAGGCCACAGGAACAACAGCCGTATGGCCAAGGCGCACGCAAGAAGCGTATTTATGCGTCTAGCCACGGCCACGGATGGGCCATTTGGCGGTTGGATTAATAAGTGACAGTAATTCATTTTGTGGAGTGATGGTAGATGGAACGGATTTGCGGCCAACATCATCACATTGTGCACCAATGGGCCAAGCTGAAATATTACCAACAGCTGAATGTCAGACGAATGGAGAATGAGCGTCGCAACAAATGAGGACAAATGATGGAGACGATGAAGCCTGTCACACAAGGTTAAGCTAGATAAAGTATCTGCATTAATATCATGACTCAAACACTCCCTGTCTCAGTATTCTGTCCAAGAAATGACCTCGTTCGTGTTCTCCAGGAATCGAAAACGTGTGGATTGTCTCTAAGAACAGAGACGAGACTCATACCCGTGCTCATAACTCATACTCATGCTCATAACTCATACTCATACTGCACTCATAACAGCAATGTCTGGCGACCTATCGGGAAACGTTGATCCCAGTATAGACCTGGCATTCACCAGAACACGCTGACCTTACATTGGCTTGGTCTCCACCGCCCACTGACCGGTGGAGACTAACGACGTGTGTGCGCCTCAAGTGTACCATCAAGAGTACACTTGAGTCTGTCGTGGCCCCCCATTATGCCGAGTGAGTTTGTTTAAGGTGGAGGTAAGGCTATTTGGACCTGTTTCCTCACTGCACAGTTATATACTTAACGTGGAATGGTCCTAAATGTTCGGGGTGCAATTTTTCGATTTCCTTGCACGTTGCCGCTACGCCCGCGGTCGGGCTAGACAATAGTAGAGGCGGCCGTATACTCACTGTGATGGTGGCCGATCCCATGGCCCAGGTGAAGATACATGATGTTCTCATCCTGCTTGGCCATCAGCACCACCAGCAGCACGGCGATGGCAAGCAGCACCAGGCAGAGGACGACCAGCACCTTCTCCAGCGTGCTCCGGCTGGCCCAGATGGACCGGCCCTGCCGCAAGCGCCCCGGTCAGGCAGGCCAGGCATTGGCACGGCATGCCCGCGCACGAGGCTCGGCGGCCGCCCAAACAGGGCCTGAGTTAAGCCGCGGAGACATACACGTCTGGAGTGCCCTCGCGAACGGCAGTGGACCACACATCATTCCGTTGGTAGTAACTCGTTGCGAGTGGTTCCGAAAGAGGTGGTGCTGTGCAGCTGATTCGGAAGGTCAGCTTTGCTCAAAGTTATGTCGGATGGAGGGGCGCAATCATATACTAGCCACTGCGTAGCAGGAGCATGTGGATGTCACTGACAACGTAGCCGCCGGCTTTGCGCTCTGCCACATGCGGTTTTGAGTGTCCCGGTCTGCTGGGCGCGCGCCATCTTTGATATCGGCATCTATCGGTGCCGGCCGCTTTTGCAATGTTTTTGTGATAACGCTGGCTACCGCTGAACGTGAAGGGAGACATCACGTAGTCTTAGTCACATATTTGGCAACTATCACAGGATAAGCATGACAAATTTATTCGACATGCGCCGTGTACTGCAGCATGAGCACAACCACATGAACACAAAGAACCTAAACACAGCCGAGCAGTGAACTATGGTTTTGATTTCTCATCTACGGCGCTTACCATGTTTTAGCGGCTCTTTTCCGAGTGCACTTTGACTTTTGAAAGCGGACGCATGGTACGGTCTATAAGATGACGCACCGATTTTCAACAAATGCGCTTTTTCGATGTTTTGTGGGTCTTTGCCGCTCGCTGCGCCAATCAAAAACGCCAATCTGAACTGACATCATTCCTACCAGTAGAGGTGCCACTGTTAAAGCTTGCAGACCCGCAAAGCGCGGGTTAAAAATGTTCAAAAGAGGTACCTCTAGTTCGTCACAGCTGACGACGGCCTGCTGCAGGTTCTACCATCGTCAGCTGTCATGGACTGGGGCTACATTCTAGTTCTACCAAGAATAAAATAATGGCAGTGCTGTGACAGACATTGACAGCGCCACTTAAACTCGAAAGTGGATAAAATCAATTTCATCACTAAATGATGATGGTATTGCGGTGGCACTGAAAAATGTTCTTATTAGATATAACTGAACCTGAGATTTCAGACGTGTATTTTTCCAAACAAATATGCCACAAAGGTGGAACACTCTCTCTAAGTTAGCTACGTATTCGTATTCTCATTCAGCGTCGAGCTCTGATTCCACTTAGAATGGGTTTTTAAGATACACACAACCAGCTGGCCATGACAATGTGGTTCGTGTTGCTATATTCAAAACAGTTTGACTTCCAGAGGTCAGAGAACTAAGGCAACAGTAATAATGACACATAAAGCCGTTGGCGAAAGAAAGTTCCGTACGAAAGTCACACACACATTGTAGCCTAGGACGGAGACAAAAAACTTCCAATGTCAGTTTTCAGGGTCATGTTCGGGGCCAAATAATTGAGTAGCGCCCCAATGCCGTTGGATAGGAGTTAGGTGCATAAACAGGGCGTTATCGGCGGACCAGGCATGCACGCCAGCTTTAACGATACAAAACACGTAAATCAACGCCAACTTTTAAGGTACTTTTCAGGGTCAAAAGACGGGGTAGCGCCTGGCTGCCGCCGCATGGCACCGATCATCTTAAATAGGGTGTGATATGAAAGCCATTTATCAGTTTCAGCCCGGGCTCCCCAAAACCCACGAGTGGAAGCCGACCTTCGAGGTCAAATTCAAGGTCGACCAAGACACACGAGTGGAAGCCGACCTTCGAGGTCAAATTTAAGTTCAGGGGGCGGGAAGCACCGCACTGGCGCTGTATGGGACTGATGATGATGAATGGGCGATAATCTGAGAGGCAAGTGTTCATTTCAGCCAGGGCTAGCAAAACACGCCCATTCAAGCTCAATCGTTTCAGTCAGAACGCCCCAAACGCAAAATTTCAAGGCCAAAAAACGGGGTAGAGCCGTGCAGTCTCTTATTGGACTGCTGTTTATAAAAAGGGCGTCATCTGAGAGTTTGGTATCCTTTTCAACCCGGTCTCGCAAAAACGCGTAAATCAACGCCAGCTTCAAAGGATCATTCCAGGTTAAATGACGAGGCAGCGCCGCGCTGCCGCTATATGAGACCGATCGGCACAAATCAGGCGTTAAAAAACCGGCGTTCATTCTAGCCTGGGCTATCAAAGCGCGGAGCTTCAAGGTCAATTGCGGTGGTTAAAAAGCTGACAACGCAAAGTTCAAACTACGGGGAGGAGCCGCAACGCCGCTGTATGGAACTGGCGATGTTCTATTCATCAGCATCAGTTCTATGCAGTGGAAGTGCGGCGCTAACCCTTTCTTCAACCTTGAAAAAGATCATCGAGAATAATCTTGACTGATGTGTTTTTGGGAGCCAGGCCTGGAGCTGATGACTGGCTTTCAGATGTCATCCTATCTAGAAACATCGGTATCATACAGCAACAGTACGACGCCACCGCTTCCTCAGACCTTGAAAGTGACATTGAAAATTAATGCCTGAACTCGGGCACCAGTAAACTCGAAAAAGACAATTTTCCCAGATAATGCGTAGATTTTTTTAGTGCGGATACAAAGCTTTAAACATACCTAGTCACCAGCAAAACCTCAGGATCATTCGCAACACAAAGAGTGCATAACAACAGTGTGACGTGGTGTCATTATCGGACTTTGGCGCAGGAGTTGACTCACTGAGTGGAAGCGCACGTGGGTGCGGCCGGTGTTGACCGAGTCCAGCTGGCACTCGCCATCCTGGTCGTCCGGAAACTCCGTGAGGTTGTATTTGATCATCGAGACCAGTTTTCTGGCCGCCTGACGGTGACACGTGGAATCGCAGTTAGCGACATCGCTCACTGGTCACACACACACTCACATCGCTGGTCCCAGATATTCAGCCTTGGAGACACACAACCAGGGCTCTGCACTGAAGATCTAAGCCGGAATCGGCACGACACGTCCACGGATTGATACTCACGCGTCTACCTAGGGTGAAACAGGTAAACGTGCCAACTTACGTGCCATGTATGGGAATGGCCAACAAGGTCCTGAAAAACGACGCTATCCTATGCGAAAATAGAGTGTTCGTCCACATTGTTGACTGGGCTGTGCCAAGGCGGTGGCATTTCTTCAGACCACGCATAGGTGCTGTACGCTGCCCAGGCTATGTGTCGACACGTTCCGTTTAAGGGATGGGTCTACGGGGCACACCCTTTACTAAAATATTCGACATTTGAAGATAGTGGAACAAGTGTCAGATAGAACAAAATAAGCTCACTTATAATTATTGGCATACCTTCATGTGAAAAAGACTGCTCCAATCAACACAACTACTCTGTTTATTAAGTATTCTCCTCAATACGTTATGGCTTTATCATGTCATCGCACCTTGCACAACGTGGATTAAAAACGAACGCACGGCCGTTCCATCTATAAATCGTGCTCACGAGCGCCAAATATGAGCGATTCGACACTAAGTTTTCTTGGCCTTGATCACCGCATGGATAACAGAATGATAGGATTTGATTGACGCTATTATGGCGTCATGGATGCGCGGGTGACTTTGAAATAACCTACCCAAAATAGTCTGCACATCTTCGCGAGCGTGTAGCGCAAAAACTAGAGGGGTTTAGATCTTAACGAAAGTGTTCCACATTTGTATAGCGTTTTGAACTGAAATAGACATCTTGAGGACATTTTGATGCAAGTCACGGTCATGTCCTTTTTGAGACACAAGACGCTCTGGTGCCAGAGTTACACGCCCGCAAAAGTGCGAAAAGTTTTATTTGGAGCCTATTTCAAAGTTGCCTTGGCATTACTTACGTTATAGGAACGTCATGCGATCGCGGTCGTACCACAGGCTGTTTTCTGCTTATGGTCAAAACAGCATGGCCGCTGATACATTCGCAAAAGCGATGATGCGGCACGTATGATACAATGCGCGGAAGATGATTGACTGTTAGCAAGATTTCGCTGCTGAACGTGTGTCGCGAACGTATCGTGAGCACTTTCAGATTGTATGGCACTCGTCGAGAACGGTTCATTTTGCCTTATTTCTGGGCCAAAGATCGATGTTATATAAAAGAACGCCACTGCCTGCAAAAAATACGGCACCTAAGACACGGACACGCTCCCAAAAGTTATGCGAAAGAAGACACGACGGCAAATCTGTCTATTTTTTCCCTGCTGGCGCTTCTTTTTTCTTCTTCTGCTGACGTATTTCTTACAGACAGCCCGGTTGGTGCCTTGTGTACCGGAGGACAGGACCTTACATGGGTTTATGGGTTAGCAAGGCATTATGAAATAAGGGAAACATTACAGTAATTTTAGATATATATTCAACTAAATATTTCACACATATTGTACGGCAAATTTAAATCCTGAGCAAAAAATTGTGTTGTACAAGTACAACCTATTGAGCCGCATTACCATGAACCCCCGTTGGGACTTTGCTTTGAAGAGAGGTCACGGTGAAATGCGGTGTTGTGACTGTGGAAGTGGAAAACGTGTTTGCATCTTCCTCACTTGCGTTTTGTGGACTCCCGAAACAGGCTGAGCAAGTGATACCACTCATTGGTTGTGTACTTTGCTGAAAGTGATTTGTATATTGCATTACGTGTTTTTGGTCAGTCATATGTCGGATGGGAAGTCAATACAAGAGTGCACGCTTGACCCACCTTTTCATGATGGAATTTATTGTGAAAGCAGCATGGATTGCAGTACAAAAACCATATGGTTGCTCAATATGCCATGCCGCAGTTCAGCACTGAGGTAATGCCACAACGAAGCTGTTGATCTGTGCCATTGCACAATGCACCACATTGGTTGACTATTCTATGTCAAGCCTATGAGACAGCAGTTTATGATTTATGAGACTGATAACTGATTTAGCAATGCCAAAGGACTATCAGCAGCAAGAATGTCATTGCACCACAATGTTTGTATAGGGAGTAACTATTAACTGCATAAATCATCCTAAGCAAAAAAAAAATATTGATAGCCCAACCTTACCATCTTTATCATAGCAATAGCAATGCTTTGGCAATCAGTTCATAGCAACGTTACAAATTCATTAATTTTCGCATGACACCGCATTTCCAGTTGCCAGCAATAAAGACGAGGTTACAAAGTCATTCATTTCCACATGACACCACATTTCCAGTTACAAACAATAAAGACAGTAACTACTGCGCACATCACATGATATCGATGTCAGGACTACAGCATTGCACGCAACGATGGGTCGACAATAAAGTATTGGCAAAATCATCATCAGCAGCATACCAGCAACAGCAGCAGCACAACATATCGTGCTCTGATATTAACAATCTGTCATAAAAGCTGGCGATTGCTATGTTGCGTATGTCAAACAGTCCACTAACGCTTTTCTTACGGCCACCACCAAGACAAAAAATCCACAAGTAACCCACCCACTGACCCGCCACCCGACACAGCCCCGCAACGAGAATGGCCGGTTGGCGTCTGCTTTTATGTGTTTGGAGGCATTCTTTAGGTCTGGCTGCTAGATGCTGCCAGGTATAGCTGTTGTCACAAAACCATTCCATGACGCCATCAAACAATAACGTAATGGGGGGCACTTCTACAAACTTAGAAATTTTGCTACTTGGTGTCGTTTTTAAACATTGAAAGCTTATCAGTAGTTACAAGTAAGCTTTTCCCATCATATCTGATGCCTACCGAAATATCCTCAAATGCGGAACGTTCCCTTTAAGACGGACAGGGCTGTAAACTGCACCGAATGATTTTTTAAGACGGCTATTTCAGTTCAAAAGCCCATACAGATGTGGAACACTCGCTTTAATTAAACCACGGCAGGCACCTGCCATGCCGAATTATTCAGGCTTGTCAAGGTGACTAGACCTGACAGATTCAGCCAATCTGCCAGCCAGCCAGCCTGACCGGCTGCGGATGGTAGCGCAGCCAGAGTTAACCAGCACGACAGTGGATGGGAGCGCCTTCAGCCTGCTGGGAGGGCTCCCTGCGCGGACGCTCGCGGTCGCAGCTCCGGCGTGACGCCGACGGCTGGCAGGAGCAGGCGTCGCCGGAGTCGGCCACTGCCGATGCTTACCGGCAGATTGATCCCTGCCAGTGCGTAGCGGCAGATTGATCGGTCGATTGATCGACAACGCTGGTGTGTTGTCGATATGTGTAAGTCGCGAGCCTAGGGACAGAAGCAGTAGTCTTGTTCCTCGTAGAAAAATCAGGAGAAAGGAGATACAGATGCGTTGATATTTTGGAAACATGCCTTTATCCAAACGAAAAGCAGAAGTAAAATAGCAGCATACTTCTGCTATTCGTTTTGATAAAGGCATGCTGCCGAAATGTCAACGCATTTTGTCCCCTTTCTCCTGCTTTTCTACGAGGAATAAGGCTATTACTTCTGTCTTATCCTACGTGGACAATATTCCTCGCAAATGCACTTAACAGCTTATGTAATTTGCCAACGTCTCGCGTTTCCTGAAATGCTGAGTAGTAAATCACGTATGAGTAGTACGTAAAGCATTACCCACCGCGCGGAGTGATAAACAGAGCTCTAAATGAATGCTCACGAATCTTCAGCGATGATGCAAATACATTGCATAGCCTACGTTGCGACGTGCACCGCACTGCCAAGTCTTCGTAAGACGCTAACGCCGTGCTCAGAGTGTCATTCAAACCAAGGTGTGCGACATTCTAGGCAAGTGCCCTTCGTCCCAAACATGACCATGAATAGGCGTCCCATCTGTGTAGCTTGACTGGTACGTTGGCCACTGGCGATTATGTTATTTATTCTCTTGAGAAGGTGCAGTGACAGATGGCAAATTTGCCGCCAATGTCCACGGGCTACTGCATTTCGTCGCAAGCTGGAGCGTCCAAGCAAAAAAAGCAGCTTATGTAAGTTGTTCTTGGTTCTTGAGACATTCACCGGCTGACCTGGCGGTGGCTGTCTCATCTGTGAAAAAAACTCATAAGCCTTCAGGTTCTAAGAGGGTACGGGAGACTGCTTACTCCCATGATTACTGGCATGCAATGGGCTCGGCAGTACGCTTTTGATGTCATCTTGCCTATTTCGCGTCAAAATTGGATTTTGCCTCTTCCATATTACAATTTATTTATAATTGTGCATATGCCCTACGCATTGGAAACAACTCATAGTGTTATGCGCGCACACCAAAGCTCAACATGGTCCAAATTCAACTCAGTGCTACGCCCATCCGTGCCTGCACTACGAATATCATGAAGTTTGGCCGACCCCTGCCTCGGCGGACCGCAGGTCGACGGCTCGAGGATAGCGCCGGCTGACCATCCCGGTGACCATACAGACCACCACGGAACATGTCCAACTGACGGCCCATGCTTCACTGTTAAATCTGACTTTCATTGTCATAATCTAATCATTGCTAAATTTAGCTTAATCTTTAGATGAAAATATTGTTGCGAGTCCAGTTCACACTGACGAGCGACCGGACCTCGTAACGATATCCTGAAGCTGATATTTGGCTTTCTACACGGGCTATCCCCTGTGACGTCACCTGGCCGAGCATTAGCAGCGGTCGATGGCGCGTATGCGCCGTCACCTGGACATCTGAGCGCTGAGTCGCCTCGCCTCTGCGCCGTGCGACGCGCCGTCAACCTCCGGGCGGTCGACGGTGGCGGGTCAAGAACACAGCCGCCGAGAAGGATGCGGGTCGTGGCCGGGACCCGGCTCCAATGGGTGATGGCGCACACAAACGACGGTCGGCCCGCGCCGACCCAATGATCTGTGCATTGCCCCGGTCTGGGCCTCGCTGCTGATTTTCTGCTATATCTGTTTA